AAAAGGCTCTTAACGCAACGGTACAATTAAACAATGACTTCCGAAAAGTATTAACCGGGCCACGCCCTCGAAATGGAATGCGAGCTTCAAATTCCATACCGTATCTCTACTCGGCGTGCGCGCAAGGTTCCACGTCACACAAGCAAGTTAAATATTGCAAAACGCACTTCAACACGCAATCACTATACAATTAACGCAATTTACAATTAGCCCATTTTACTGGAAATGAGGCATTCCATCTTAGTCCTCACGGGTGACAACGCATCTGCATTTTGATTTGTAATAGAGGATAGATGTAGATGTCTATGGGCCGCAGTAACCACTTACCATCAGGTGGACTGTGTGCTCGTTTGTCACCCTTATCCTATAAAAATAAATACTTTCAAACGAAATTACTTTAATCAGTCAAATTCAATACAAGCCTCTTGTCACGAACGTACAACTTAGACAAACTAATCCGAGGCGGTCTTCACGAAACCACCAATTCAATAGCGAACGCGCACAAATCCTAAAAATCTAGACCACAAAACCAAAACTGGTCGCGCGAAATCGCTGCAGCGGTACACCACAAAATACGTTAATCGACCGCGCCGCTGCTCTCAAGCTACTGTCTCGCCCACGAGCGCCGAACGCCGGGAAGCTGCATTCCGCTGCCCCCCGCCCCGCCCCGGCGACCGCACGTCACCTCACACCATCGGGCGACTCGCTTAGTCAAACGCAATTGAATGGTGTTTCAAATGCCTAAATTTGGCCTAAACAATATCGATATATTTTTTCACACTGTCTTATCTCTATTATTAGTTCCATGGACATTCACTTCTGCTGTCAGCGCCAAAATGGCGAAAATCAAATCGCCTCATTATGTGACGGTTATAGCCAGTCCATATATAAAGGTCAGTGGAGGCAAGCGATTCCTACTACGTCACCATGCTGATTCTATGAAAAGGCATTTAAAATTGTATAAACAAAATTATTGTTAAGTGAAATTATGTTTAAAAAAATCCTGCTTGGTTTCTTGCTGGTTCTTCCCAGGACAGAGGTATTTTCCGAACCAGTGGTAAATAAAAAAATGACTTTTAATAAGTATTATGTACTAATAAATATAGGGAAAAAATAATTCTGTTCTATTCTATTCTATTTTATCCTATGCTATGCTATTCTATTCTATTCTGTTCTATTCTATTCTATTCTACTGATTCCTAAATATAAAGGTACACACTACATCTACATCTATCTTTGATTCATAATGAAGGATAGATGTACATGTCACTTCGTCCTATTAATTATGAATCAAGGATACCCTCCCCCTCCCCCATTATCAAGAATAGAGTTAGGGATAGATGTAGATATCAATGGCAAACCGTGTAGTTGCGTGGTGTTAAATCACAGACTCTAGTATACGCTTCCATGGTTAAACACTTAATTGACTTTTTTTCCTAGTTTGGCGACATCCATTGGATTCTGCCAGCGTCAAGTATTTTATGAAAGTCACACAGAGTATTCCACTACCGTTTCCATAGATACGCTTACTTAGCCTCATGTTACGAAGTTACATATGTAGTTATTTTCGAATGAATTAACATATAATAGTTTTACAAAATTATTGCTAATATAATAAAATGGATATAGGTAACTGGCAAAAGTACTATAGTTTAATGTTATTAATGGATATGAAGTCTAAAGTTTGTTTTGTCTCAGTCCTAAAGTTTGTACAAAAGGAGTGTAACTAAATTTAACAAAGACTTAAGATTTATAGGATGAAGGATGTTATTAGGACGAAGGATGTTATTAGGAAGAAAATTGTATAATGAAACGGAAAGGTTAGGGCAGCTAAAAATTATGATCGATCGTACCTTCGTCTATTCCACACTTACAAATGGAGCTATCTTTAATCTTAAGATTTGCCAAAAGTACAGGTGAACAAGTGTGTCCCAATCTAATTCTACATATGACAGATGTACTATGCTTCAAGCCATTTCTGAATTTAAAAAAAAAACATGGTTTGGAGGGGATGTCAGGCTGGAGTTCTGCATGATATATACCGATAGACTTCTGAGTTTTTTTTCGCAAGAGAAATAAAGTATAATATGTTATATGATGCATGAGGGTACCGGATGTAGATGCTGGTTTTGCTAAGGAATCGACAATTTCGTTGTCAAGAATGCCACTATGACTTGGCAGCGAAGCAAGTTTCAAGTTAATACCTTCACAAAAACATGTATACATTGCATCTTTTATTTTAAAAATAATTGGGATTTTCGATTTACCTCGAAACAGGTTAGATTAAATGCTTTGTAATGAACTATATGAGTCAGTAAAAACAATACATTTGTTAATTTTTTACGCTTCTATTAATAAAATTGCATCTAAAATAGTAACAGCTTCACCAGTGAAATTTGAAGTAGCATTTGGATTTTTAAAATTTAAAATAATTTTGTATTTCGGTATCCTGACAGCTGAACCTAGAAAAATATTATCAAAAAGCTTAGAGCCGTCAGTAAAAAGGGTCAACAACCCTTCCCATTTTTCGCGTAATATACCTACTTAGAATTTTTGTTGAGCTACAGGAGAATTTTTAGTCACTCCAAAATCTAATATAACTGGAGGATGATAACACTTAAACACTTGGACAAATTATGTCATGTGATAATGTACATTCTTACATTGCCACTACACGGTCCACTAGCCCATATCATCCCGTGGGTGTCGTAAGAGTCGACAGAGGGAAACAAGTCAGGAGATGTGTAACAGCGTATTTCTAATAACGGTTAAAAATAAAAAGTGTGGTAAAACACGCTTGCCAAGCGTGGCAACTATGGCGAATTTCCCCCTATGAAGTAGGTCTATGTTCAGCAGTGGACTTTAATAGGCCTAGAACGGTAAAGATTACATTACAACGCCCCGGCATCGGACCGGTACTACTTCATGAAAAGTGAGCTTTCAATTGTGTCATTACAGGTAGTACATTTTTTAAATTAAAGTAAAATATAATAAGTACTCTGTTGTTAATATACCTAGTATATATATACTTATATATATACTAGGTATATTAACTACTGGCTGAAGCACATACTATATAATATATGCCTCAGCCAGTATCGGAATCCTCGGCGTCGACATATCGAGTGACGTGCAATTTCGTGGTCACTTGGAAGAGAAGGCCAAATTGGCCTCTAAAAAGCTTAGCAAATTGGCATCTGAAGGCTGAAAATATAGGCCGCGGGGACCGCGCGCTGGCCTTACGTCGTCCATTTCAGACATAAAAAGTAGACTCCTGATCCTCACCGAGCTGGTGAGGCAATTGAGGCGGTCCTGATCTGTTGCTGGTCTGGTGTCGGGGACTTGTAATGTGCGATGGCCCTTAATATGAACCAAGCCTCTCGGTATAGAGCAAAAAGTGTTCTGTGGAGTAAGCATTTAACACTATTACTCCATCAAGAGTAATATATTCTTTTCTCCATCTTATGTAAGAAGACTATTTTTACGCATATCAAAACAAAAAAAATTCGTGGTGTTCAAGTCTTCCTACATAGAATCAGAAAATTTTTAGAAAACAAATGGTTATTAATCGTCATATTAGTAATTAAACTTGTAATTGTTGAATATATATGGTCATAAAGGATTCTTGTAATATATTCCATATTACAGGCCTATTTAAATGTTCACGTTCGCAATGAAAGGAAAGTAGGCGCTGTGTTAACCACAAATTATAAAGTAATCCTCATTTCATTCTTCCATTACAGTCGTTAAAAGTTCACAGGTGAACTTTTAACGACTCCCCCATAAATTGCCTAAATGGAGGGATTTTACTGTACTTGCCACGCATAATGTATAAGCATAATGCTACTCTCTTGTTTAAGTGTCTCTCTGTCACCACTTACCACACCCACAGGACGATATGGAGTTGTGGATATTTTTAGTCCACGACTACACGGTTTGCCATGGACAACTACATGGGCGTGAGGCTAAGATTGAATGCCTCGTTTCTAGTAAAATAGGTCTGCTGCATATATCTGTCAACATATAGCTAGTGTTCAGTGAGAGCGTGATCCTTCCCTAGTTGAGTCAACCCATTTATGCCACTACTATAATATAGCTGCAGCGTAGCTCCACTACAAACCAATTACGGCAACGATAGTGTCCTCCAGACCTAATTTCGCTCACGGTAGCCACAAAAGGGCTAGTGCAGAACTGGACAGTGTAAACGTCTGTGCACAAGCAAGAGTGCACTCTGTATACCCTCAATCTCAAAGTTTGAGGGGTTGGCAATCTGACACAACTGGAGAGAGATTAGGTGCAGGACCAACAAGCTTTTTGCTTTTTGAGATACGGATGTGAAACACTGCTTCTGGTACAACACAACTTCTTGTCTGCTACATAAATTTCTTGACAGATAAATCCAATATGATAAATAATTCCGGCCAAACGGGTGATTTGAACCCGGGAGCTCATGAGAGCAGTTGCGCTTACGACCACTAAGCCATCGAGGCAATCATGGGAAGTCAAATAAGTGATTTGATGTAATAAATATTTAAGCGCCTTAAGATACTATCGGGTTTCCTAAGCTGCATTAATGTTTAAATAATGGTTTGAAGTACATTTTCATATGTAAAAGTGGTGTGGTTTTGTATATTAAATGTCTGAGTAGGTATATCTTTAACAGAAACGATGAAACTAATGCTGCGATAGTGACATGAACCTCAAAATAATGTATGTGCTTAGGTGCCTTGATACCATCAATTTTGCCGTTTAATTTGACGTTTTGTAACAAATTATTTTAAAAGATATTTTTTTACTATTAAACTTGATGTTGGCAAAAGTATAATAGCACGAAGCACGAGGCCATTGCCAAGGGTAAAAGAGTGATTGTCAGTGTCATTGTCATGTGTCATTTTCATGTCAGACTCGGATTATTTTTCTAGTGTTGTGATCGCTGATCAGAGTTTAATGAGAAGTTTGTGATATGAAAAAGCGTTTAAAGTAGTATTTAAATTGACGAAATGGATGAAAAATATGAAACGGTTAAATTATGTTACACAATACATAAGTTTTCAAGTTACTCAGCTAATTACACACCAGAGTGCGTAATAGTTTTTAATAACTTTTGTTGTAAAAATTTCCCGGTGTATAAATTCTTTACTTTTAGTAATAGAATTACTTTACTTAACAGTTACATTTTCAAAACAAATTCTTCACTGTCTCGTAGTATAAACTATGATAACTAATTTTTTTAAGCGATCTGTCTTTGGGTTTTTAGAAATATCATGGTGAACAATCCTTCCGATCAACTGTCGAGATGGTTTACAGACAGCTCGAACACAGCTAGTACGCTGCTACCGCAATATGTTATGCTCAAACTTAAGTCACTGTCTATTGTAGAAACCATAAAGTTTGGCAAGTATATTAAGCCCCATGTCAGTGATCTCAAGAAATTTCAAATATTTGGTGGTACTGATGAAAATAATCTTTCCCTACTTTTATCGGCGTGAGTATAATATTACAGCCATTGGCACATTTTACATAAAAATAACAGATCTTTATTACAATACACAATTAATATAGTTACATTTTAACTTTAGTGAACTTTTCATTAAGTATCATGGATATTTAAGTAATTGCAAACTGCAATTTCTTAAATATCCATTATAATTTGCAACCATCCATTTGTAACTGTGAAATACCACTGACTGACTGACTCATCATGAGATCTCTTAAACTGTACACCCAATTGACTTGAAATTTAGTATAGTTACTCATTTCACTATGTAGAGGCTCACTAAGAATGGGTTTTATGATAGTCCCATTAAAAAGATCTTGATATTTTAAAATATTATTGTGCGCCCAGCTAATCGAGCTGGTATCAGCTAGTACATAATAGAGTAGGCACAATATAAGAGTATTGAACACCATTATTTACAGTAGAATGTTTTGTTAAATACTATACAGGTTGTTTGGTGGAGCGTTAGACAAACTTGGTGGGCGTGTAGGTGGACCTATTTGTAAAATACAAATTCAATTCATAAAAAGAGTTTGTATTTTACATATATTATTCACATTTCTTTTTAATTTTTTTTTTGTAATTTTCTGAAATTTTACCTCTTTACCCCTACAATTTTTTGGTACATGTTTTTGATTGAACTTTTTATTTGATTTTGGTCTCAGATGTAAGATCTATCGAAGGCATTGTTAATCCAAAATAATGAGTAAATAATTATTTATGGGCTCTCAAAGTTAAGAAAATAAAAAAATTAAGTCCAAGTGAAAAAAATTAAGTCAACTTTGCATCGTTTAAAAAAAAACTAATCGTGATCGAGAAGTTCAAATGCTTTTAAAAACTTCTCTAATCATCGCTTATTATATCGGTGTATTACATGTAATAGAAAGGTCTATCAACTTGCCAAAAATTAACACATAAAGGGAAAATGCTATAAATAAAACATTGTAAATATCCCTTCCCTATTTCTAATGCAACAGTAGGTATTAGTAAAAATTACCTTCAATAAATTATTATTTCTTATCATACCTAGACATCCGAGTGATGTCTTCGAAAAAAATAGAAATCGATAATTGTAATTGGTGTGAGGCAAACATTTCAAGAGCAGGTAAATAGCTTTTGTTTCGCTTAGTACATTGTGCCACATTCTTCTGTCTCTTTCTGTCATGGGATATTTGACCCACAATCCTGTAGCAGTACAGTCCTCCGGTTTGTTTAAACGTTTAGTCATGATTTGACTCTGGTTACTGTGAAATGTATCCTAGTTATCATATCCATTTCATTTTTTTTAGTTATATTGTTATTACCTAGTTCTGTTAAATTTCGTTGTTGTTTTGGTTATTTGTTAAGTTTTGATAAATTGTTTTGTTTTTGTTATCGTCTTGTTGTGACAATGGTGGAATTCAACAACGAAGAATACACTGATATTATTTACGCGTATGCCTGATGCGATGGAAATACGCATGCTGCACAGAGACTGTACAGAGAGTTGCATCCTAACAAACGTGTGCCATACCACAGCACATTTTCTAATACCTTTCGGCGACCTCGGGAAACGGGAAACTTAACCCTTCGAGAACCACGAGTCAGTGCAACGCAGCACCATGTTGCTGTAGACGAAACCATTCTCCATGCGTTCAACGAGGATCCCACTACTAGTATTCGAAAGGTGACCAGAGATCGGGGTCTTTCTTGTATGGTTTGTCATCAATGCAGATGGAAGGCATCCTTTCCACTACCCTCCGGTGCAAGGTAAATTACTAAATTTATCTAATCTAATGGAGCTCATCTTTGTCTTAGTTTGAATCAATAAGCAATTAAAAAAATGATTTTGTCTTCTTCTTGCCCTTGCACAAGAATTCTTTTGTTTATTTTTTTCTGTTTTGGGATACCATGGGTACCTCTCAATAACCGCGATTGCATTGTAACTTAACCAGTTTGATTTTTATTTAACAGCTTTATTCTCGGTTCCAGGTTTGGTAGATGGTGATATTGTGCGACGCATGCAATTCTGCCGTTTTTGTCTGAAACTTTTTAAAGAGCATTTTATGGACGGATGAGTCGAAATTTACATGAGAGGGGATTTTCAATCAACATAATCTACACCACTGGGAACAAAAGGGTCAAAACCCACATGTAACTAGGTGTAATTGGAGGGCATCTCATTGGACCCCATTACTTGCCTGACACCTTCAACGAGGAGAATTACTTGGAGCTCTTGCAGAACGATCTCCCTAAATTGATGAGAGACGTGCCGATATTTCATGAAGATTGGCCAATAGTATTTCAAAATGATGGATGTCCGGCACACTATCGCCTCACAGTGAGAGAGTTCCTAGACAACGCGTTCCCTAACTCGTAGATTGGTCGACTTGGCCCTATTTCATGGCCTGCACGGTCCCCAGATCTGACTCCTCATGACTTTAGCAAATGGAACTACTAAAGAGCTAGTTTACGAAGAAGAAATACAAACAAAGGAACAATTAATTGAAAGAATTGACACTGTTTTTGTAAAGATGTAAGACGAGATGACGCTTCGTACTACAACAGTAGAAATCCGACGTAGGTGTTGCGCAAATAGGGGAGATGTTTTTGAACAAAATTTGTAATTAAAAAAAATATTTTACTTTTGTATTTTCACTCCATTTCCTCCGTAAGCCTTATTTTTATTTTTGATTTTGATAGACCTTTCTGTTACATGTAATACACCGATGTAATAAGCGATGGTTAGAGAAGTTTTTCAAAGCATTTGTACTCCTCGATCACTATTAGTTTTTTTTAACAATGCCAAGTTGACCATTTGGACTTAATTTTTTTATTTTCTTAATTTTAAGAGCCCATAACTAATTATTTACTCATTATTTTGGATTAACAATGCCTTCGATAGATCATACATCTGGGACCAAAATCAAATAAAAAGTTCAATCGAAAAGTTACCAAAAATATTGCAAAATGTGAACAATTAGGGTCTTCTAAAAATTTGTATTTTACAAAGAGGTCCACCTTTTTTATCGTGGGGAAAACCTAATGGTTACCTTCTGCTGCAGGGGCAACAGAAAGGTGTTGGAAATGCTGGACTCCTACCGGCCAAAACCCCACGGTGGTCTCCATCAGTGTATTTGAGGGGTCCCGGGATTTCCCGTTCGGAACGCAACCGGGGCACAAATAGATCCACCTACACGCCCACCAAGTTTGTCTAACCCTCCACCATACATTCTGTATATGTTTTGTTAAATAAATAATTTTGATGTTTAGTCATTGAAGTTTTGAAGTATAGTAGTTTCATGAAGTATCAGGGCTTGACCTGGAATTCCATTATAATTTAAGTATTATAATTTAAATAAATAAAAAAATTAAATAAATTTAAGCAGTGTAGGATTTAAGTCAACCAATTGTATCTACCCACCAATGGAATATATTGCAGTAGAAACATTATTCCTCGTGAGGCAGAACTGTGCAAAACCTGTAGTTGATTTGAAGGTGCAAACTTTAATGAGATATTGATACTATTTTTGTTAGTCTAGTCCTAAATTCGAGAAAACACATAGTTTGGAGACATTAACTTTTTAAATTATTTTTGATATAAAATGTGTGATTGTAATTAAAACTGTAACATGGCATGACAGAAGATTCCAGAGATTTTTTGGCGGTTCCTCTCTAAAATCTTATTTTTGTGCACTGGCGTAGATATAATGATGTTCATAACAACTTTTTAAACAAAATTGAATAAAGTTTAAATTTTTATTTCTCTCTAAAAAGACTTGTAATTCCAAAGGTCTGGCATTATGATCAATAATATTTATATTTTATCTATTCAGCTACAGGGGTGTGGCTGGATACAAATAGCTTTAACCTATTGTAGTTGGATAAATTTTAGTGTATTTAATTTAATCGTAGTTATAAATAGGTTAATAATTAAAATAATTATGACTTATATAATTATTTTAATTATTAACCTATTTGTAACTACGAATTGTATAAATTATTCAGCAACAGTAGGTCACAGTGCAGTCCCCACTCCCACTCTCCCCTGAAAATCGATTGTAGGTTTTGTACATTTTTTCCCTAATTACCGTACAATAGATGTAAACAATTTTATAACAAATTAATAATGAAAATTTTTAAATTTTGTTGAGCCACACTGCAGATGTATTATAAAATGAATGTGTTAGCCCAACCTGGGAAGGACTACAGTGTCACAGCATAACAGTTAAAAAGTAAAGTTACAGCTTATATACGTCCCACTGCTGGGCTCAGACCTCTCATTTCTGAGAGGGTTTTAGGGCAAGGAAATGTCTGTAGCACTGGCCTAATGTATGTTGGCGAAATTCACATGTCTTCGAAATATTTTTTTTTCTTTTTTCTCAGACATGTAGGTTTCTTAGGGTAGGGATCAAACCCGGGTTGCTCACATACTGTGAAACTTACAATGAGCACCATCCTACAACGGCTCTCTTGCTACCACGGCTCAGTATCATAATCCTAGCTAAACTATTGTACCCGGTATACATTTGATCAATGATAACTTTTACACATCAATTTCTCTTAGTGTTTAAAAAGTTTCAGTAATAGTAGCCTACTAAGTCCCAAACTAGCGAAGCTATACAGTGGCTTTAAAAGATGTGACTTTTCTGGTATTTCCTATAATTGTGATATGTGATGATGGATTGTCATGTGCAGCCATCACATCATCATCATCGTTATCATTACAGCTTTTCACAAGTCTACTGCTGAACATAGGTCTCCTCCAAGGAATGCCACAAAGAACGGTCCTAATCCACCTGCAGCTGCCGACTTCCTGTATATCTTACCAGATCGTCAATTCACCTAGTGGGGGGCTGCCCTACACTTCACTTACTAGTGGTCATCACATGCCAAAATAAATTCCTTATAGACTACTAGTATGTTAATTTTTCATGGTTATGAGTAAAGCCAAAGTTACCAAGTTAAAGTTAGTTATGGTATTGAATAATTACTTATCCTAAATTATTTTATTTTCTATTCTTTGATTTTAATATAATAAAAAATACATAACAAACTATATCTATAGGGGTTTAAAGAAAGACAGTGCACCAGAGACATTTAAGCTGAGAAATAGAACTACAGAAGGTCTTTACCTACCTGTGCAATATATTAAAATTGTGCCCCTGCTGTCGTGGGGCCCAGCTTACAATTACACCATATGGTATGTGGAGCTGCATGGAAAGAATCAGGAAGATCTTATAAAAAATGCTATGGAAACAATTAATTTGGTATGTGCGAGTTTTCAAAACTATACTTACTTTAATGTTATTGCTTAAAATTGTTGTTGCATATTTTGAGAGATGTCTCAAAATGCCAGCTGAGAATTGCCATGGGCAGATGATAATGATGATGACAAATAAGGTGACCCTTATGTATATTTTACTTAATTCTTTAGTATAGGACTATTTTCCGATTGATAACAATATAAGTTCTGATAGCAGCTTCAGATAATTAAATAATATTTTGATTAAAAGAGTGACCGAAGTGAGGGACCTGGGGGTATATCTCGATAGTAAACTAGACTTTGCGTCTCACATTGACAAGGCTACTGTCAAGGCTTATAGAATGTTAGGTTTTGTTTTCCGACAATGCAGACTTCAAAAACATAAACACGTATGTTATGCTGTATAATTCTTTAGTAAGAAGTCATCTTGAATACGCATCTACGGTGTGGAACCCTATTTACGCTACTTATGTGGAACAAGTTGAAAGGATTCAAAATAAGTTTCTGAAAAGACTTAGTTACAAATTTAAAGATCATTCTGCGCTACATCATTCATTAGAATTACGGCGTGAACATAGAGATCAGGTGTTTTTGTTTAAACTTTTACATAACTATATAGATTCCCCTTTCCTTCTAAGTCGTATTTCATTTAGGTGCCCTAGGTTGAGTGCTCGCTCCAACGCAGTTTTCTCTACTCCTTTTTGCAGAACTAAGTATTCGAAAAACCGGTTTCTGGTTCGTGCTTGCAACACACATAATGAGCGTTATAACCATATTGACATATTTAACTGCAAACTAAACGGTTATATTACATCTATTAAGCAAGTTGATCATACTTAGGTGGTGTGTGTACTTCTTGTCCCCTATCTAATTATAAAATTACCTTTACTAATATTGCTATTAGGTATGCAGTAAGTATATCTTTCAAAAATCTTAAAACTCAAATATGTACTTCATTTAATTATATTTAAAGTTTTCGAAATGTAATTCTCAACGTTGGAAACTGTTCTGGCTAATGTATTGTTAACATTCATCTTACATTCAAATGTGATATAAAAGCTGTATGTTTCTTTGAATAAATAAATAAAAAAAAATAATTCGTAACCCTATCTTGTTCTGCTGGTCGTAAGAGTCGACTAAATATACATCAACTATTTTTTACTGCCAATACAAAACAGCGCTTCAAGAGATAAATAGGTCATAATTATAATGACAATGAAATTTATTTAAAAGCTACTCATTAATACCAATTATAATCAATTTTTATACCTTATAGCGTAAAGAAGAAGAGGCAGTGCGTATATTACTGAAACACCTCCGACGGCGACGCTACAAGGACGCTTTTGAAGCACTATCTAGAGAAAGTGGAGTACAGCTTGAAGGACCAATACAGTCGCGACTTTGGAATGCATTGGTTGAAAATGGAGATTATAAATTAGCAGAGCAGATACTAGAAGAGGCTATGAATGGTATTTTTTTATATTTATTTGTTTTTGGTTGTTATTATTGAAAGGTTTAGGTTTATTTTAAAGCCAGCACCTCGAATAGCAGCCATCACATCTATAGATTTTTGAAATGTTATCTTCGTGAAACAAAACAATATTTACGAATTTGCCATGATCAAGATTTTCAATCCATACAACCTCGTCAACTCTTTGGCGGACATAACGCCGGAAGGACTCGCCTTCAAATACTTAGGGAGTTGGAGATGATGATCTTTTCCATACCAACAACTGACCTGGTGGCCCTATTAATCAGGTTGTTGTAACGCATTAGTTGCCTCGATAGATTCGACCTTTTTGTTCGAGTACATTGTTTCTTAGTTTCTCTTTTTTAATTTATAATATTTAAAATAAATGTTTAATTTTCATTTATTCTTCTTTTAAATATTTTTCATTCCTTCATTACAGCTTATCAATAGTCTACTGCCGAATAAAGGATTTAGATTGCCTTTTAGGGAGATAATTGCCCTAGACACACGCGGTATAGCCATGCTGCAGCTATATTAACTGTATAGTTGTAGTACGGATGGGTCGGCTCGACCGGGGAAGGACCACGCTCTCACAGAATACAAGCGTATACAATAGCAGCGTAATGCTGGTGTGTTTCGTATGGTGAGTGTAGCGAACCGGAGCCCCTTTTTACTGGAAAAGACACATTCCATCTTAATCTATGTCTATGAGCCACAGCAACCATTTACCATCAGGTGGACTGTGTTCTCGCTTGTCACCGTTATTCTATAAAAAAAAAGATTGTTTCCATGTTTGGCATGCAGTTGGCAACCGCGGTTTTTTTTAAATTATCTTTCAATTGTTATCGAAAAGATGCTGCTAACCCATTTCCCCATTCACCCATTAACCCAGATCCGCGTAAAAATAAAAATTACGTGTCTTGCCTAGTTTTAAGAGCAAGAGCTCTCAATTACGTACACTATCCGGTAATCCCAACGCCATTACACTAGGAAATCCACACCATCGTCGGTAATACGACAAGAGTTTTGCCTTTAAATAAAGCATCATTAGGATAAATAGACTCTGCGATGGCTGACCGCTAAGTGAGTGAGTGGCGAACCAAAACCTAACAGGTGTTGTTTAAATTAGGTAAGACAGTATTTTCATTTTTACGCGGATCTTAGCTAATAAATTATATTATATACTTAATATTTTATTAATTTGATAAATTATTCGAAGGTATTGCATATAAATGATATTAATGCAGTATATTAAAATCTTTTTATTTTTTAAAAGGTTAACATATTCGTAAAATTTGTTTATACTAGAAAAAGATGGATAAATATTTGAAGAAAGATGAGATGAATTCTCGGAAAGCCATATTTAGCAACTTAACAGGCTGATTATCATCATCTATGCGCTTTATGTAAACATTTTCTATAATCGGCCCTTACGACACTACCACCCGGTGTATAAGTTTATGTTTGTCTACTGACTTCAAAAAGGAGACAGTACTCAATGCGACTGTATGTTTTTATTTATGTGTGTTACCTCATAACTTTTTAATAGGTGAACCGATTTCGATGATTATTTTTTATTTGAAAGCTGGTGCTTCACATGTGGTCTCATATAAATTTGATCAAGATGTGACCAATAGTTTTTGAGTTATTCTTAATAATATATATTGAAGTCGGTTGCACAAAATTTTTAATTTTAAATTATTAGTGTTGTAAATACTCTCATGAAAGTAAAGATATATTCTTTCATGAGAATATTTACAACATTATAACACTATAAATGTATATTCTATATATGATTGATGCGTAGGGTCCGGCTGAAGATCGATTTCTGGCCGAAGCCGACGGTGTAGTCAATTATCGGCTATCGTTACTATATTCGGCCGAAGTTGATGGCTTAAAAGAGATTGGCTATAATTAATAATATAAATGTTTTTAACACTTTTAAATTTTTTTTTATATTGACTGTATTTTAAATGTATAAAAAAGTAATTTTAATAATTTTTAGAAGTTGCTCTAGGCATGATAAAAATTGCGTCGCCACGTCCATCACGCTCTCGCTCAATTGTAACAGTTCGTTTAAATTCAGCGCTTATTAGTACTTAGGTAATAGCAAGCGACAAAATACTTCGTCTTATTTTGTATAAGTGTTGTGTAGGTGAAGGTGTGTTTTTTGGCCGAAGGTGGCCAAAGCCGAAGTTTCGGTCGGACACTATTGAAGTGATGTGGTGGTGTCGCAGAGGGCGAGATGGACTGGTACATGTCGTGGCAGCCGTACCGGCCGCAGTGGCGGCAGCTGTCGGCGTGCTCGGCGGCGGTGGAGGCGCGCCTGTGCTGCGGGGACGCCGCGCCGCCCGCGCCGCGCGCGCGCCCGCACGACCTCGCCTGCGCGGACCGCGACCCGCGCCTCGACTTGCCCGTCCGTTCTCTTTTTTTTTTTCAACTTATTACATGACAAAATATTAAACGTTCAGCCAAGTCCGATATTAAATTTATTCACTACAATTCTTCACGATATGAAGTTTTTGGGATATTTTTTTTAAAGCCTTACCCAGCGAGTAGTTGAAAACATATCTCGAGCCACCAAAATGGATACAAAAACTTGATATTTTTATCACCATCGAAGCACTTTTAACATGGTTTCACTAATAGTTCACATGTGCGGACATTTAATACACATAAATGCACCACTTGTATGTATATATTCTATTTCAAACCATTATTTTGACAATAAAACAGGAGCAACTTTTGCTAGTGTACTATATATATATATATATATATATATATATATATATATATATATATATATATATATATATATATATATATATATATATATATATATATATATATATATATCTTTTTTTTTATTAGAATAGGAATGACAAACGAGCACATATGTCACATGTTAGTGGATGCTGTGACCCATAGACACCTACATCTATCCTCACTGACTGCCTTGTTGGTCTAGTAAGAGTGAATGTGATTGCTGATCACGAGGTCCCGGGTTTGAATCTCAGGTCGGGCCAAAATCAATTATTGGGTAGGTCCTATTTCTGTAACTCAGTCACATCCCGGTGTTAAGATATTGACGATATCTCACCCCCGTGCCTCGAAAAGCACGTACAGCCGTTGGTCCTGCGCCTGATCTCTTTCCGATCGTGTCGGTTCACCGTCCCATCGGACTACGAGAGTGAGGGGAAGAGTGCACCTGTGCTTGTGCATACACTTGGGCACTATAATCCTGTCCTGCGCAGATGATTAGTCTCCGTTGAGACTGGGCGCCGTGATGGTAATTTACCACATACATATCATATGCCTCATTACCACTAAAAGGATTCCCAGTTCTCTACGCTCACCATAAGAAATACAGCAGCAATAAACTGTTATTTCACGCCGGTTCTCTGTGGGAGCGTCGGCCTTCCCTGATCGAGTCGAACCACTAGGTCTGCAGTCATAATATAGCTGCAGCATTCTCTTCAGGCTCTATCATGTTAAATTGATGAATGAAAAATAGGCAATTATCCTTTAATTTGTTCAGTGTTTGACCTAAAACACAGTCAGAAATAACGTAAGGTTCTTAACGCCATTGGTGTACTGCTGTTTTTGTATCCATTAATAGTTCACATTCTTCGCATTATCTTTTTTTATCAAATACTGTAGAAAGTTCTGTAACATTTTATATGTTCGGATTTGCTACGATATGTGTTGTCCGTGGTTATATCTGCTTTATTTCCCTCTGTTGCCTTTTACGATACCCACGGTATGACTCCCGGTGATCAATTCGACTGCTGATTGATGATCAGAAGCTGGTCGCTATGATCGAAATTCGACTGAAACATATTATTCAACTTGGAGCCATGGAAGGGAAAGGGGAGATCTCCCGCCAGGCAAGGTCTTCTTCCCGGGGAGCGCCCAACGCTCCATTGGGATACTTTTTTTTGCGCCCAGATGCAATGGAAAGGGTTACCCTCCGGAAAGTGAGGAAGGGAGGTGGTGAATGCTCTAAGCATACCACGACAGCCGGCTGTCGTGGTTATGTGGGACTCACTGCGACTAACCTAACCTAAGTGCCTACCCACTAAACACCACCTGTGAGACTCGCATTGGTTTTTGTGGCCTTTCTGCCGAAGCGCCATTGTGATACTTCCGAGCAATTCTATATATACTCGCTATACTTCCGAACTTTGATAGCGTGATTTAGGCTTCAGTTCGTATCGCTTTTGGGCGATGACAGGGCCGCCACAAAATTACCAGAATTTTGTGTAAATGTCTTATTTTCCAAAACTTTGTTGTGTTGCTTTATGCAGCCATGCAATCTACCAGTAGAATTCGATCGTCCGGCTTTAACTCCGTAAGGCATTTATCTACACAAATGAACTTTTTGAACTTTGCTTAAAATCCATTTCAAATGTTCATTAAATACGTCTCTATAACCAGGAGTTGTCCACGAATGGGTCAGATGGCGTGGGAGTCGGAGTGGGAGTAGGTGAGAGTTTGGGTGTGGAGACGTGCGATGCGGGCTGCGACGGCGCCTGCTCGGCTCGACCCGGCCCGCGCGGCGGTCATCAGCTTGTCGTCGACCCCAACACTGGTAAGGCTTGTTATATCTACCCAAAGACTTCTATGTGTGCTACTAGACCTGGCAATTCCGGTAAATATGCTACGCAGTTGTATTTTCATTCAAGAAAGTTACCGTTTTTAGGCAAATTCGAAAGAAAGTTACATACTTATCTGTACAAATAGATAAAATTGAAGTGTCAGTTTGTAATGTCAAAAAACAGCTTCTAAATGCATATGAAAGTATACACGGTACTATAACAAAAACACAATTTTTAAAATTTTTGTCTGTTTGTCCCGGCTAATCTCCGAAACGGCTGGACCTATTTTGACGGGACATTCACTGGCAGATAGCTAATGTTATAAGGAGTAACTTAGGCTACTTTTATTTTAGAAAAGGAATTAGGGTTCCGCGCAAAAAACAATCTCGATGCTGTATTAAACATACTGATACAACAGTTTAAAGACCTTACAGTTGCGAAACGAATGTATTTGTGCAGAGCAATGATGTGTGCAGAGCAATGATGTTGGCACAGCGGGGCAGGGGGCGGGCTAACCTTGTGCTATCGTACTTCACTGAGTGTGATAGAGAATACATGCGGTTGGCGCGGGCGTGTTTTATAGTACTTATTTAACTAGTTTTATGTGCCTTTTTTCGAAAAATATAATATCTATAATGATGAATTACTGTTGTAGTTATATGAGTTACCAAGTAAAATTGAATTCAAATGACGGCCATGATTATGTTTTCCTAATTTGTTTTTTTATAAAATTGTTTATCTGTATGCGAATACCCTACATAATAAAATTTAACAATCGAAAACTGAATACATCTATAAAAAGAAAATTTCACCAAAATATTAGCAATGCAACACTTGTTAATGTGTTTTTTCTTTTAGTAATAAAAATGATCTTGTTCAATTAATGTGTTTTTAAATAATATTATTTCCTTTTTCGTGACAACCCATACCTAGCATATACGCTGGCCGCGTAAATACCTACGCGCGCCGAGGTCGAGGACATCAAATGCGTTTCACAAAAAAAGGATCAGCAAACTAAAGTGGCAATCGATTGGTCATATAGCTCACAGAACTGACAACCGATGGGGAAGAAATGTTCTCGAGTGGCAGCCTCGTACGGCAAAGTGAAGAGTGGCCCCACAGATGGAGATTAGAGTGGACGTAGATGGAATGACGATTTGGTAAGATATGCAGGAAGTTGTTGGATGAAGGTGGCTCGGGAACATGTTATGTTGAAATTGGATCCTTGGTGGAGGCCTATGTTCAGCAGTGGACTTGTGGAAGGCTGCACAGATGATAAAGAATATGTCGGTGGTCATAAAATGTAGGAACAACGTTCATGATATTGCGCTCTCGCTCGCACTTATTGGCCGTATGGAAAGCGTAGTGTTTTCTGTTGTGTCTTATTACTAATAATTATACTGCAAAAGAAAACAATGATTTATATGTTTGAGAAGTAGTTAGTTATCAATGTTTATATTTTTACAATGGTAAACAAAAATAATCACATTAGAAATAACATTATTTACGTAGATAATTTATTGAGATGGGGTTACCCACACAGGAATATCAAATAAAGTAGGTGAGGGTAATATTGTTACCTTAAGGCGCAGGTTGAGCAAAATGTCGCGCTAGTCGTTATTTGTGCTGTTTTTAGAAGCTATCTACTTTTTATTTAAAAGATATATCAACAAATAAAAAACACATTATATTTCTACATAATCTTGACTCCATAAAAGCTATATCCAATTTTTTTTTAAAGGAATAAATATTAATATAATCTCCTTACAACGAAACCACATAAATGTGAAATTATTATTGATAACATGCATCTCCTCGTAAAGTAAGTATTATTTTATTTTGCGATTTACACCAATGGATAGGCAATTTATTAATGAATATTTCTATAGAAAATTTTTTTTCAAAAGACCAAAATTTGATTTTATTAAGAATTTATTTTAAAATCTGGGCATATTCACTGCTCACGGGCTTGCCGAAGTCAGTGAGCCCTGAGCTCTTCGACGCGAAGCCCGTGTCGTTAGAGCGTCGACCAGCACATACACTCACGTCATATTAGTCGATAATAATATTACTTATTAGGTTATTTATAGGTAGTATTATTTGTTTGTTTTGGGTATAATTTTTCGTATTAGTTATATATATATTTGTTGTGTTTTTTACTGCGCGATGAAGCTTTTTGCGTGTAAGTGAAGTAAATGCAAATAAAAAAATGAAGCACCATTAGCATGTAAGGTTTGAATCCATAATTAAAATTTCGACAAATATTATAATTTACACTACAAAAGGCTAATTCAATATTATCACCCAACCACAATATCTTATTAGGTATAGTACCGCCTCGTTGGTCTAGTGGTTGTAGTAGTGCGAGTGCTGATCATGAGGTCTCGGTTTCGAATCCCGGGTCTTGTCAAAAAGTCGGTTATGAGTTTTTGGCCCGTTTTTGTTTTTATTTATTGCTTGTTTTTTCTTCTTTTTCAAAAAAAAATTATTGAGTACATAAGATGTTCTATACGCCGAAAGTCAGAGAGAAAAGCTAGTACATCTTTTGCTAAACTTTAAAATCTAAAACCAATTTTAAAACAGACGAATTGATCATAACTCCCTTAGCTATAAAATAAGTTATGATCTAATTAATGGTATTTATTCCAGTTTATGGCAGCTCTGATTTATATTACGTGGCTGAAATTAGGTACATCTTATATATACGTCAAACCAAATAACAGCCGGGCGGCTGACATTATGCACTCCATACATTTCTTATATTATCTAATTACAGTCCCATTAATTTCCACTAAAAGAAAATAAATAAGTTGTAAATTCAAACAAAAATAACTGCATTACTATGTCTATAGTCATATTCATACAAATCAAAAAGCCTATGTATGAGATAATGTAAAGTAAGCATAATTTTACCGGGATCATAACTTGTCAAATAATTAGGAAAATGATCGTTTTTCGTTGCGTACCTGTTTTGATTTTAACACTGTTAGGTTTAAAACTGCGAGGTAATATTTGAATAAATATAGTTTCCTCTAGGTACAAAGAATTTTTTAGATGAAAATATTTGTAGTTAAGACTACTAGAAATCTTATTTATGGAGTAAAAAGGCGAAAAGACTGCAATTAGGGGCATGACTGGAATTAGGGGCTTCTACCCTAATTCGGTAAAAAGTATCTAAGTAGGTATTAATATACCTACTTTTTACTATAAACTAAAATTTTTTTAAACTAAATTTAACTAAAAAAAACTAAAGTGACCATTTATTTTTTAACTCAAAACAGGACATGGGTTATTTACACTCTAAAAACTATAACTTTACACAATTAGTGTTCAATATAAAATTATATTCGGTATAGACGGTAATTATTAAATGCAACATATTTTTTTAAATTATTAATTACATTTGTCAGTGGATTAAATTTGCTTTAATAAAGTTGGTGATAATTTTAAATAAGAATAAAATTCTGCTTAAGTTTTTTTATGGTTACCTTTGTTAACAACATCGCCTTTAGAACTGGAACCGTAAGTGTTTCTTTCAGACGTCCACAATTTGTTCAAAATAAAAAAAATATTCTTTCTACTGGAGCATTTGTACCAGGGAGACATAAAATATATTCGATTAAAAAAAATTATGTTGAAGATTGTTGACTTTGAATACTTCCATCCAACGAGTTACGGGACAATTTTGTGTCCCGGAGCTTTGTTTGGGGACAATGGGACAGGTGACTGAGAAAAGGGACAGTCCCGTTCAAAACGGGACTTATGGTCACTTTAGCTATAAACCGGCGACGGCTCCGTGGCGCACTGGCTTAGCAATCAGTTGCTGCACTGGGGGCCGCGGGTTCGAATCCCGCACGGAACAAGTATTTGTATGGCCTACAAATAATTGTTCCGGGTCTGGATGTTTGTCCTTGTGCAATTTATGTTTGTAAACTGCCTCCACGACTCTCATTCTATATTACTCTCACTCTGCGAAACATCCTATTTATTTATTTATTCTTTATTGCACCAAATATTTGTACAAAAGGCGAGCTATCTATTTATTTACTTATAGTGAGTAGGTATCTTTTAAACTCACAATTTTCAATGCTTCATTTTTAATATATAATTAATTATAAAATTTCATAATTAGATAATATTATATAAGAATACATAACTCTAATATAATGCAACTAATATACCGAATAAAAAATTTGAGATACATTTATCGTTGTACGCTGTGTGTATTTCCATAAAATAGTTTATTGATGTTGAAAAAATACTACGTTCTTACAGTAGGTGGCGCCTTACATATTTCTTACGTGATATTATATTGTAGCGAGTCGGCGCGGCACACCAAATGCTCAAGGTCGTTCGCATGGAGTAGCCCCTTAAGCTTTGTTGCCCTATAAACCAAAACTAGAAGGAGGACAGAGACAAAAACACAAAGTCGTATAACTGTCAAAATGGCGTCGATTAAGCACCGCCCTTTTGACCCTTTATTCTTTGATTGACTCATAAAAAGCTATCGTAACACAAAGCCATCTATGCAAACAAGGCTGTAGTTTTTGAGTTATAAGAAAGTGACCATATTAACCAGATGATCATATTACCCTCACATACTATAGTTAAATTTAAAGTTGGTTGAATGTATCCAAGAGCTGAGATAATCAGCTCATATTAGCTCGTTTGCTATTCTCACGTTAATGCAATGCTGCATTGTTGGTGTATTGGTCGTAAGCGCGACTACTGATGGTCGCTGGTTCTAATACCGGGTTGGGCCGAAATTATTTATTAGGATTTCCTGTTAAGAAATTCTCAGTAGCAGCCTGGAGTCAGCAAGTTGACGGTTTTTCATCCCCGTGCCTCGGAAAGCACGTAAAGCCGTTGGGTCAGCGCCTGATCTTTGCCTGACTATCTAGCCTGACTGTCGCTAGCGTATAAAGAATGAGAAATAAAGCGAAATCCATTGATTTTATTAGGTGACTAGCTGTTCGCCGCGACTTCGTCCGCGTGTAATTTATTACGATTGGATTTCATGAGTTTTAATTTTATTGCGCGGAATCCTAATTCTTTATCTAAAACAAAAATAGCCTAAGTTACTCCTTATAACTTCAGCTATCTGCCAGTGAAAGTCCCATCAAAATCGGTCCAGCCACTCCAGAGATTAGCCGGAACAAACAAACAGACAGGCAGACAGACAAAAATTAAAAAAATTGTGTTTTTGTTATAAGTACCGTATATACTTTCATATTCATTTAGTAAAAAGCTGTTATTTTGACATTACAAATAGACACTTCAATTTTATTTATTTATATGTATAGAAGATGAAAAGCTAAAAATATAGTAGCATTGAAGTGCTATGGACAAGTATGGCGCTATCATGAGGTTAACGGAAAACAGTTTGGGTTGTTGCAACTTATTTAAATTTTTAGCATTTACATTTTTCAAGTAATTTTACTCGTACATTATACAGTTTTTTACGGATTGTATAATGGCAACATAATACATTATGAATAAAAGTTGTTACATTATATTTATAACAAAGGAGATTGAGTTTTATCTTATTCTTTTTTTTTGTAGGCACGTTATACCTCTTTGGTGGCTGGAACGGCACAGAGGATCTGGACGATCTCTGGTGCTATACCACAACGTCAGAACGTTGGACTCTGCTGTGCCAGCATAGCAGTCTCATGTCCGGTCCGTCTCCGCGCTCGTGCCACAAAATGGTCTTTGACCCTGTCAATGAACGACTTTACACTCTTGGCAGGTATCTGGATAATGCGCAGCGGGTGCCTAGTAATATGAATGTTAGTATATTTTCATGTTAATGTTATTTATTTTATTTGTTATGAAACTTTGAGCTTTGAGCTTTCAGATTCGTTTTCAATGTGGTAGAGCCATGCTGCAGCTATATTACTAGTATAGTTGTAGCAGGAATGGGTCGGCTCGACCGGGGAAGGACCACGCTCTCACAGAATACCCGCGTAAAATAGCAGCTTAATGCTGCTGTGTTTCGTATAGTGAGTATAGAGAATCGGAGACTCATTTTATTGGAAAAGAGGCATTCCATCTTAGTCTTCACGGGTGATAACACATCTGCGTTTTGATTCGCAAACGAGGATAGGTGTAGATGTCTATGGGCCACAGCAGCCACTTACCATCAGGTGGACTGTGTGCTCGTATGTCACCCTATTCTATATAAAAAAAGCAAAATAAAATTTCGTGTATTTTTCTTGTTTCTTGTCCATTTTCAATCTGTAAATGTTGTTTGCAAAATACTGGAAATAGGGTTTTGAAAATTAGTTCACATGCATAAAACTTTATTTAGACAGATGCTGGTTAAGAGTTCTTTGAAAAATTTAATAATAAACACTTTAACCATAGAACGTCTAAGGACTAAATTACAAAGCCTCGTTTCTAGTAAAAAAATTAACTCTACACGCACCATACGAGAGACTGGTGCATTATGCCTAGCCGATCCATTCATGCTGTAATCATATTACAGCTGCAGCATGCTCTGCCATGAACTAAATTGGACCCATTATAATAACTTTCTATAAGAAAGTTAATTAAATACGAAGTGTATTCATCACATCTTAATCATTAATCATCTTCACAAGTCACTGCTGAACATAGGCTTACCCTAAGGAATGCCACAAAGCAAGGTCCTGATCCACTCAAATCGTATCCATCGATTTCGTGCATGTCTTTCACTCCGTCTATTGGGGGCCGAACTACATTTCGCTTAACGGTACGAGGCTGCCACTCAAGAACATTTTTCTCTATCGGTTGTCGGTTCTTCGAGCTGTATGGGCGGCCAATTGTTACTTTACCGTACTGATGTAGAAATATACGTTAAGGGGCTACTCCATGCGAACGACCTTGAGCATTTGGTGTGCCGCGCCGACTCGCTACAATATAATATCACGTAAGAAATATGTAAGGCGCCACCTACTGTAAGAACGTAGTATTTTTTCAACATCAATAAACTATTTTATTGAAATACACACAGCGTACAACGATAAATGTATCTCAAATTTTTTATTCGGTATATTAGTTGCATTATATTAGAGTTATGTATTCTCATATATTATCTAATTATGAAATTTTATAATTAATTATATATTAAAAATGAAGCATTGAAAATTGTGAGTTTAAAAGATACCTACTCACTATAGGTAAATAGATAGATAGCTCGCCTTTTGTACAAATATTTGGTGCAATAAAGAATAAATAAATAAATAGGATGTTTCGCAGAGTGAGAGTAATATAGAATGAGAGTCGTGGAGGCAGTTTACAAACATAAATTGCACAAGGACAAACATCCAGACCCGGAACAATTATTTGTAGGCCATACAAATACTTGTTCTGTGCGGGATTCGAACCCGCGGCCCCCAGTGCAGCAACTGATTGCTAAGCCAGTGCGCCACGGAGCCGTCGCCGGTTTATAGCTAAAGTGACCATACGTCCCGTTTTGAACGGGACTGTCCCTTTTCTCAGTCGCCTGTCCCATTGTCCCCAAACAAAGCTCCGGGACACAAAATTGTCCCGTAACTCGTTGGATGGAAGTATTCAAAGTCAACAATCTTCAACATAATTTTTTTTAATCGAATATATTTTATGTCTCCCTGGTACAAATGCTCCAGTAGAAAGAATATTTTTTTTATTTTGAACAAATTGTGGACGTCTGAAAGAAACACTTACGGTTCTAGTTCTAAAGGCGATGTTGTTAACAAAGGTAACAATAAAAAAAACTTAAGCAGAATTTTATTCTTATTTAAAATTATCACCAACTTTATTAAAGCAAATTTAATCCACTGACAAATGTAATTAATAATTAAAAAAAATATGTTGCATTTAATAATTACCGTCTATACCGAATATAATTTTATATTGAACACTAATTGTGTAAATTTATAGTTTTTAGAGTGTAAATAAACCCATGTCCTGTTTTGAGTTAAAAATAAATGGTCAGTTTAGTCTTTTTAGTTAAATTTAGTTTTAAAAATTTTTAGATAGTAAAAAGTAGGTATATTAGTATATTAGTACCTACTTAGATACTTTTTACCGAATTATAAGTATAGAACACCTTATGTACTCAATTATTTTTTGAAAAAGAAGAAAAAACAAGCAATAAATAATATACTATATTTTAGCAAAAAACTATAACTTAGTAATACTAATTATAACTTAGAACATAAATGAAAAACTCATAACTGACTTTTTGGCCCGACCCAGGATTCGAACCCGGGACCTCATGATCAGCAGTCGCACTACTACAACCACTAGACCAACGAGGCAGTACTATATCTAATAAGTTGTGGTTGGGTGATAATATTGAATTAGCCTTTTATAGTGTAAATTATAATATTTGTCGAAATTTTAATTATGGATTTGAACCTTACATGCTAATGGTGCTTAATTTTTTTATTTGCATTTACTTCAAAGAAAATACACGCAAAAAGCTTCATCGCGCAGTAAAAAACACAACAAATATATGTATAAGTAATACGAAAAATTATACCCAAAACAAACAAATAATACTACCTATAAATAACCTAATAAGTAATAATATTATAATATTACGCGCGTGCGCGCTGGCAGACGCTCTAACGACACGGGCTCCACGTCGAAGAGCTCAGGGCTCACTGACTCCAACAAGCCCGTGGGCAGTAAATACGCCCAGATTTTAAAATAATTTCTTAATAAAATCAAATTTTGGACTTTTGAAAAAAATTTTACTATAGAAATGTTCATTAATAAATTGCCTATCCATTGGTGTAAATCGCAAAATAAAATAATACTTACTTTACGAGGAGATGCATGTTATCAATAATAATTTCACATTTATGTGGTTTCGTTGTAAGGAGATTATATTAATATTTATTCCTTTAAAAAAAAATTGGATATAGCTTTTATGGAATCAAGATTATGTAGAAATATAATGTGTTTTTTATTTGTTGATATATCTTTTAAATAAAAAGTAGATAGCTCCTAAAAATCGCACAAATAACGACTAGCGCGACATTTTGCTCAACCTGCGCCTTAATATAAATTAATATTTCTGAAGTGAAAAAAAGGAATTATTCATTCATCGATTACATACTATAAAAGTCCACTGATGAACATCAATCTCCCCCATAGATTGCCTCATAGGAAGGCGTTTGCTATGGCTGCTACGATTAGCATGCGGGTTGGCAACCACAGTTTTTATTATTTTAACTTGTTATCAGGAAGATGCTGGCGCCCATCTCGTGTTTCAGTTTCCCCCTGTCGCCTCTTACGACACTCACGGGAGGATATACATAGGATAGTAGATAGAACAACACTACACGGTACTTATTTTATATTTTTACGTAATGATTTGCCCGTGTACCGGCGGGTAAGAATATCCACTACCTCATATCTTCCCGTGGGTGCCGTAAGAGGTCACAGAGGGAAACTGTGGCAGGAGATTGGCAGCATTTTCTGATACCAGCAAAATAATAAAAAAACTGCGGGTGCCAACGCGTGTCCCCCCCATGGATTCTTTGAGGAAGGTCTATATTCAGCAGTAGAGTTGTGAAGGGCTGTAATAAGGATGATGAGGTAAGGATTGTTCGCAGAGTGACCTGTACGTGTACGAGGTGCGGTCGGGCGAGTGGTCGCTGGTGTGCGGCGACACGGCGGCGGCGGGCGGGCCGCGGCTCGTGTTCGACCACCAGATGTGCCTGGACGCCGACACGCAGACTATCTACGTGTTCGGCGGCCGCGTGCTGCCCGCCAACACGTGCGTACGCACCGCCCCGACACGCTCGTCACCTTGACACACACACACACACACACACACACACTCGACACACACGACACGACGAGTCATTTCTTTTATATTTCTGTCGTTTTTTTTTTAAATATTTGTTAGTATAGTTGTGTACGTCAATGGTTTATGCCAAAATTAAGTGTTTATCTCTTTCTTTCAATATCAGGCGTTTAGTGCGTTATGGTGGGAATGCGGGATTAAAAATGCTTCTCGTTTACATGGTAGAATCACGTACCTCATAGGCCAGCAGAATTTCTAGCAGTTTTCTTCTTTCTCGTTGCAGGCAGGTTTTCTTCTTTAAGACATGCTTTTAATACAACTCGGCGCTTATAATCAAAGAGAATATAATCACTTCGTTTTAGAGGTGGAACATCCTTAGTAAAAGTAAATGTACGAAAGGGCAACAAGCTACTCTACGAACATCAAGTCATGACATTTTATTTTTGACAAACAGTGCTGACAGCATAGGCGAATTATAATAGCGCTGTCAATGTCTATCCTCGAATAATTTTATCGATATAACGTTTATCGATGTATTCTCTATCGATATTTTTGTATAATAAAAGCTTGATCTCCATACTGAATTATTTATGAGAAATATTTTTTTACGTGGGAATTGAGTAAAAAAAAGATTGTAATTATATCTCTACAATTATTAGGTACAAAAATATGTATAAAGAAAACCTAATATAAACAACGCACAATTATACTACATACTAATTAATTAAATAAATGACGATTCCGTAGCGCAGTGGCTAAGTGTTTGGCATTAGAGAATTGAGTTCGTTCCCGCAATGAACAAGTGTTTCTATGCTGTAAAATAAAATAGTCTGCGTCTGGATGAATGATAGTTTTAAAGGGTTTAATTTGCTTTTAAGTATATCAAATACTATGTACAATTCGCTAGGCTTCTACTCGCAGAGATTGTTTACTAAGTCACTTTCAAAATTAGTGCTCATTATAGCTAATCTTTGTAGTTCAATCTATTAAAAAAAAAAACATAAAATATTTATAGCCAGGTAAGCCAGGACGCAACTCAAGTCTTGCGTGGCACTAACTTCGATTGTCTCTTCAATCGTTCGTTCGTTTCATTCTTCTTGAGTTGAAAATAGGAATGACGGAAATTAATATGATAAGGATTTGTAGAAGTGTATATACTTCGGGTTAGGACATTGAAATTAAAGAGATGTGTACTATTTAAGTATAAAAGTATACATAGTAGCGTTTTCGCGGCAACAGGTTGTCACTCAATCTACTTGATTTTCAAGGGCATTTTAAAAATTAGTTTTAATACATAAAATAGCCATTATTTTATTAAAATAAGACTGAATTAACAAATGAACTGAGTGTACAAGTCGCGGCTGCATTTCGTGGAAGTTTCTATTTATCTAGCAAGTTAGCAACAAAGCTTCCACCTACTCTTCTAAAATACATACGGTAAATTATTTTGAATTTCGCATTTAAAAAAATTATAATAAATCTTATATTAAAAAGGCACTTGTTGTTCAGGGATTCTGTATTGCTAATATATCACATAGCTTATAGATTAATAATAATAATTATTTATTGCTATACTCAATCAAATCTAAGAAAATACCTTTTGACGTTTCACATTAGTAATTCCGTAATAACTTTGTACAAGCGTATTCACACGATTTAAAATACCTTTTCACGTAAATACAAATAATTATGAAGTGAGTATAGTTAATATTTCATTAGAACATGTATAGTTCTTTATCACCAATTTTAATTCGAATCTTTAAGCAAAGCAAAATATAAAAATTAAGCAGAATTAACTTTTATGCTTGACGTTATTTCAATGATATTATGTCGTTATGCACCTTACCGTAATGTTTGGATGATTCAAATGCATGCTAATGTGAATAATCGGTAAAATATTCAAATAATCGAACCTTTACATTTTTTAATTTATTATTTGTTTTTTAATCTTTATTTTTAGAGTTGCATACATTATATGAATCATGAATTAAACAAGTTTATTTTTTATAATAATTTCTGTGAATCCCACTGTGGCGAAGTTGCGAGTAAGTTTAAAAGATGCCGCATTGTACAATGGTAGTAATAATGGAATTGGCTTTTGATCCAAAAACAATTGACAAACGCAAAATTATTATTTAGAGCCATGAATGCAAGGAATAACATTTTTACGAGAAATTAAAAATATAACCAATTGGGACAATGTTATATTAATTGAAAAAACATTGCTAAATACCTACCACATTTGCCGTAGACGTGGATAGATGACATGGGCCCATGGGAAAAGGTGGGCGCCTCATAATTTGCTATCTGGGATTCGCCAGGGAAGGGTTTGTGTAGGAAATACAACTACTACACAAGCGATCATTGGTCAAAAGTGATGGAGAAAACAAAGAAAATTGTTATGGACGACTATGAAAGAGACATTAATTTTGAATGCATTGTAGATAATAAAAAAATAATTAATTTAAACAACGATGATGACAACGACAGCTCAACTAGTTATAGTGAAAATTGTTAAATAAATGTTTTTAATTTAGCGCAGTCTCTAATTTATATTACTTTATATTAGCAGTAAGCAATAAATTAGCTTAGTTTTGGTGGAGTATAGACTGGAGAGTGGAGACCGCTACCTATTGTGTAAAATTCATCCAGCAATTCAAGGTCTGCTTTAATGTCTGTATGCCTTTTTTATTAATATTTTTATGTTTACCTAAGCAAACTATATATATATAAATCATGTTTAATGTCCATGTCACACCTATGCCGGTAGTTGTTGGGAGCACTAAGCTCGAAGTTGTTGACGAGTATGTTTACCTGGGACAAATAGTCCGACTAGGTAAGTCCAACTTCGACCGAGAGGTCAATCGACGGATTCAACTCGGCTGGGCAGCGTTCGGGAAGCTACGACACATCTTCTCGTCAGACATACCTCAAAACCTTAAAACGAAATTGTACAACCAGTGCGTGTTGCCAGTGATGACTTACGGAACTGAGACGTGGTCCTTCACTGCTGGCCGTATGAGGAAGCTCAAGGTCGCTCAGCGAGCTATGGAGAGGGCTATGCTCGGAGTTTCTCTGCGTGATAAACTTAGCAATGAGGATATCCGCAGTAGAACCAGAGTGACCGACATAGCCCAACGGATTAGTAAGCTGAAGTGGCAGTGGGCCGGCCATATAGCTCGAAGAACCGACAACCGATGGGGAAGAAAGGTTCTCGAGTGGCAGCCTCGTACCGGTAGGCGAAGTGTAGGGCGTCCCCCCACGAGATGGAGTGACGACCTGGTAAGACATGCAGGAAGTCGATGGATGAAGGTGGCTCAGGACCGTGCTTTGTGGCATTCTTTGGGGGAGGCCTATGTTCAGCAGTGGACTTGTGAAGGGCTGTAATGATGAATCAAAATGCGATTATGTCGCTCTTTTGACATCATTAAAAACTAAATAACATGAAATTTAACAAGCAAACAAAAAAAAATATCTATTAGACCAATTTGAGGAGAATTAATGATTTATTTTAAGTACGAGTAATACCTATCTTATTTAAAAAAAATAAAGTCGGTTCACAATTAATGAAAATATCACAACATAGATACAGTCGAACTAAATACGACCTCGGCAAAAAAGTCTAAAATTCGTGTTTGCTTTCGTAGTGAGGAGCTGGTTAGTCCGCAGTACTCGGGACTGTACGCGTACTACATAGCGAGCAACACGTGGCAGCTGCTACTGCCCGACCGCCACGACTTGCCCGCGCCGCAGCCCAGGGTCTCACATTCTATGCTTTTCCATCCGGTGAGTACTGTGTTTTTTTTTTAATTCACTAACGATTAGCAGTTTACAGCTAGCCATGAGTCGCAAATAACAATACGAGGGTGATACTGAAATTTCTTAGAAAATCAAAAACTAAACAAACTAATAAGTTATTAGTTTTATTATATCTTTTCAAAATAGTGTCCATTTATATCAATACATCGCTGCATCCGATGGAACCACTGAGAAAAGCACTTTGCACACTCGTCCTTAGAGGTCTCTTCGACGGAATTTTAAAACGCAGCCACTGCTTCCTCGGCGTCCATAAAACGTTTTCCTCGAAGTTTTTCTTTTATTTTCGGAAATAAATAAAAATCGCAATGTGCGAGGTCAGGGGTATAGGGCGGGTAACCCAGTAATTCCACGTCTGACGTCGCCAAGTAGTCGATTATTTGCTTGACGGTGTGCGACGAGGCGTAGTCGTGGTGAAGGAGGATCCTACTGCGAGGTCGTTTCTCCCGAACTTTTTCCAAGACAAATGGCAAACAATTGTTAGTGTACTCTTATTACTCTGCAGTAACTGTTTTTCGATCCTCTAAAACAATTATTGCGTAATGACCTGTCCATTCGAAGAACTAGGCTACCATCTTTTTTCCCACGCTTCGACCTCTCTTCACTTTAGTTGACTTAGTTGGCAACTTCTCGGAAGAAAACCCCCAGACAGCAGACTCTCTCTTAGAGATCATAACAATAAACCCAGCTTTCGTCACCCATAAGTATGTCGAAGTTCGACATCGAACACAGCATTTGAGTCACCTTCGTTAAATCTTTGAACCATTTCACGACACCAATCAATACGACGGAGTTTTTGGGCCTCTGTAAAATTATGAGGTATCCACAGGGCACAAAGCTTCCTGACCGCTAAATGTTCATGGAGGATTTTGTGCACTTGACTCATACCGATGCCTAAGCTTGTCCGAATCTGCTGATAAGTCACTCTTTTGTCAGTCTCCATAATACGCCGCACAACACTGATGTATCTTCAGTCGTCGCCGTAGAAGGCCGTTCCTCACGCATGTCATCGGTGAGATTAGTGCGACCACTTTAAACTCATTAAACCAGTTGTAAAAAGTGGCACGAGATGGGGCTTTATCGTGAAAGGCCAATCGAACTCTATCCTGTTGTATAACTTTCCTGTTGACTTAAATGACATCCAGAGTCATAAAATAGTATATTTCATTACGAGTGCGGAAAGCCTGTTATTGCAAAGAGTTCCGACAAATGTCTACCCGAGCCGAGGCGCAGCCGAAGGTGAGGGTTGACAGTCGGAACAAGTTGCAACGATGGTTCCGCACGTGTACTGAACAACTATTTTTTAATACAGTTGCGAAAAAATGAAGCAATTTAATAAAATAATAAAAACACAATAAACTCAACTAACTAATCATTTATTTCTTATAAAAGTTATAATTCACATAAACATTGAAATTGGTACAGTTTTTTATACTAACTGAGGAAGTTTTAGGTTGCATACTTACTGTTTGAGACAATCTATTATTAATTTCATATGATTGTTCATGCATATTTGTCAAAGGTGTTATACAATGGCGTTTGCTAGTTGACGGAATTGGATCTGATGAATTATCATTATCAACGAAGGTAGATGGACGAACGTTCTCTTCAGTATTGTCATGTGAAGGAGAAGGACTGGACTTTAAATTAATGGATTGTGTGATTTTTTTTCCCAGTTTCTAGTTTGTTGTTTAATGAATCAGCAATATAGCTTTCTGCAACTTTGTCTAACTTCCAACCTCCTAGTCGCTTTAAGGACGTCAAATTGGCTCCCGAATCTGCTAATAATGTAGTAGAGGTCCTCCTGAAGCTGTGCCCAGTATAATACTCAGCATCCGGCAGACCAAGAAACGTAGCTATTTCTTTTGGCATATTACGAAACTTTGGAAAAAACGGTCGGTTTTTGCTTTTTAGGACCGCTGATTCATATATATATATATCACTATTCTAAGAAAATCTCCTTCAACAAGAAAGCTTCTCGGTATCTTATTTTTTGTATTCGGAATCTTGACTAGTAGCATTTTTCCATGGGCTTCAATATCTTTTAAAGTAATGTAGGCTAACTCCTCTCTGCGGCAAGCTCCAACAACGCCAAAAATCAGCACAACCTACAAAAAAAGGGATTTGATTAATATTTTTTTAAATAATATATTGACTGTATTTTGCGATTTTGTAAACTGAATACTAAAGAAAAATATAAGTATTTATTAATAAATTACCTTTGTGGCTAAATAACGATAATCGGGGGCTTCGTTCAAAAACCTTTCCACATCATTCGATGTTAATATTTTCGACTTTTTAGTTGTAAAACCGTCTGATTGTCGTTTTAAGAAAGCATTTAGTTTAGGGTATTTACTTATATCCACGTTGTTCCTTATTTTCAGCATACTTTTTATCATCGAAAACCTCGACCATAACGTAGAAGTTTTTAATTTTGCTGAGAGTTCGGAGAAGTATGCCAACATAATATTTTCTGAAAAACTATTTGATTTTTCTCTTCTCTCCACGCAATAAATTCGTCGTGTGTAGATATGTAGCGACGTTTTGACTTTTCTGGTGAAATGTTCTCCGAAGCATTTTGTGCAATTATACCGAGTTCCGGTGGTGTTAATTCAAATAAAATATCGTCGAATTTACTCATTTTGTGCAACAAACAACTAAACTCACAAAGAACATTTTTGGAAAATGGCGCCAACCGTAAAAGAATATAAGCAGAGATTTTTTTTGTTTTCTTCACCCATTCTGGGTAGGCAAAGGGAACTATGTCCATACAACCAGGTGTTCAGTAGAATTTTTTATTGATATGAAATGAAAATGAAATTTAATGAGATGAAATGAAATGAAACCTAACCTGACTCATCTCTCATTGACTCATTGAATCAAATCATTAAATCTGATATTGAAACAAATTCTTCTTCGCATGCTTCTTCAAATGCTTCTTTTTAGAAATATTTGCATGAATCATAAAAACTTCTATGAAATTTTTTTAGTAAAAACTTCGTGGTTGGGTTTTTCTTTTTAATAGACATTATTTTGATAGTTGGGAAAGAGAACGCACGTATTCGGAAAAGGTAAAGAAAAAGCTCGCGTATGTAATAGCCCACATCCCGAACGCTATACGTCCCTCCAATACGCCACTTTTTGAGCAACTGTATTAAAAATCATTGTACGAAAATTTTCTCGCGTTAAATTCATGCTGACGTGACACAGCTAATTTTCAATTTGCCGTCAAATCGTAAACAAATGGCTAATTAATAAAATACATACCTACACAATAATATTAGCAAAGAGTTCCATTTTCAAAATTTGAACTTATTTTTTTATTATATTGTTTTCAAGTGGCCAGTTCTAAAAACTTTCAGTGTCGCCCTCGTACTAGTCGGGCTTTGCGGCCGTAATACATTGCGCACTAAGTTACGGTCAGTTATTCATAACTCTTATAATCAATTGCGAGTGGGCGAGAATATTAGTTCTTTGTTTTGTAAACCGTAAACGTTGTTTTCAACAATATAACTTTGATTTTGTTGTCTAGCTGTCATTACACACGTGCGCACGTTGTTAACGTGATTTGTAGTTTAGATAAGTATTAATTTTATTCCTTATTTGCCTAAAAACAGTAATTGTCGGAAATGAAAATACAACTGCGTGGCATATTTAGTGTGTCAGCTCCGCTTCCGCATCACTGACACAGTTATTGTTTTGAATTGCCTGTCTGGTAGTATGCATAGAAGTGTTTGTGCAGGTGCAGCGGCGGCTGTACATGTTCGCGGGGCAGCGCAACAAGGAGCAGCTGCTGGACCTGTGGTGGTGGGACGTGGGCAGCGGGCAGTGCGGCGCGCTGTGCGCCGGCGCGGCCTGCGCGCCGCCCGCCGCCGGCTTCACGCAGCGCGCCACGCTCGACCCCGACACCGACGAGATATTCGTGCTCTCCGTGAGTACGCACTACGCACTACGCACTACGCACTACGCAGCCATCACAATACTATACAACTACACTTTCTATACATTAATATATTAATACTTGAAGGGATAACTTTAAACTCCTTTTTAAGCATATTACGCGCACGCAGGAGTGTAAGATTTGGAGTGCAGAAAACTAAAATTGGGTTATAATGTATTACAAATATTTTAAATTAAATTAAATAAAACACATTTATTATGGTCATACGATCAATATCAAACACTTAATTGTCGCTTGAACATATTATGTCGTTTGTTGAAGATCATACTGCCAATGTCTCAGAGTAAGTACAAGTATATTATGTATGTTATTACTCTAAGGCAAAAGTCAAACATTTAATAGTCTGTAGTCAATCAGTAGCACAGGGTATAGATTGTCGCCAAAGAATTTTAAAATGTTGCCAACAAATAATTACTGTAAATTTTGTGTGATTTAAAATGTTTCTTTGTCAATAGTTGATTATTTAATTTAATCCAATCAAACCATTTCCATTCTAGCCTATCCAAACTCCTCTCCATATATTGTCTCATAGGCCTCCCGATGTATTGTCTCATAAGAGATATATTTACACTATACGGTAATTTAAATATCCACTTTTATACTATAACTATAGATGGAGTGACGACCTGGTAAGACATGCAGGAAGTCGATGGATGCAGGTGGCTCAGGACCGTGCTTTGTGGCATTTTTTGGGGGAGGCCTATGTTCAGCAGTGGACTTGTGAAGGGCTGTAATGATGATGATGATGATACTATAAAGCTCTCATACTATTAAAAATATATTTCTATTTTTTAGCATACATTACAAACTTGCCTTTACTTTCAAATTACAATATATTGGCCTGTGATGGAATTCAAAAATATAATTTTGTATTTTATTGAAATATTCATGTTACATTAAAACATGTTAAATATTGTAACTAAGAATAGTTTTCCGTTTATCTACAGGGCATGAGTAAAGAAAAGGATAAACGCGTGTACAACTCATTGTGGGTGTTGTCATTGAAACGATTGACTTGGACATGCATATATCGGAACGACAGCGTGTCTCCGTCGGAACCGCGGCCGAGGTTCGCGCATCAGCTTGTATACGATCCAGTTAGGAAGGTAAGCTTATTGTGTTGTTACTGCTGCTTACAATACGGATATCATATTTTAAGTGTTTTTTTTTATTATACTGAAGTGACAAACGATCTTACAGATCACTTGATGTGATTGAAGTGGTTACTTCGGCCCATGATGGATACCTGAATCATAAAATCAAGTTCAAACGACGGCTACAGATGCGCTGTCACCTCTGAGGACTAAGATGGAATGCTTTACAGCCTTCTAGAGTTAAGTTAACTATCAAGATAGCTACCAGAATTATTATAATTATAACAATTTTTTTAGGCAATATTCTAACTAATATTCCCAAAGATATTTTCAACTTCTTCTTAATTATTTCCTTTCTATTCCATCTCATTGAACGAAACGAGTAATAATGTCCTCCAGACCTAACCATCTGCACAGGACAGGATTATAGTGCCCGAGTTTGTGCGCTAGCACAGGTGCACTCTAATCCCCCACTCTCATAGTCCGATGGTACGGCTAACCGACATGACGGGAGGGAGAGCAGGCAGAGTATAATCTCGGCTTTACGTTTTACCGAGGCACGTGGGTGAAACACTTCCTGACTTCGGACTGCTACTGGGAATTACTTGACAGGAAAACTCGATAACTGACTTTTTTGACCCGGCCTGGGGTAGAAACCGCGGTCTAGTAATTAGCAGCAGCGTTTACGACCACTATACCAGCTAGACAGTCAATAAAACGCAACGAGTACAAATTCAAACATACTTACATAAACCTAACTTACGCCTACCCCGAAGAGTAGGCAGAGACTACGGACTTCCATTTGACACGACACTGACACACCTCTCTCGTGACATCTTACGCTTACTTCCTCTTAAGTACTCTTAATTTGGTCCATCCTCAATATATCGCCAATTTAATCGATAAACTTCGGACTAGGGCGTTCCATGCCGACTCTGCCGGCACGTCTGGACCATAAATTTGTTTTACACTCTTTCTACATGACCAAACCACGTATTAACATCGTCCTGCAAATAAAAAATTCAGTAACATGGTATTAAACACAAGACGTTTTATGTTTTATCTGCTATTGGCTAAATTCCCGCTTCAGAAACAAAACACCTAAACGTTGCTAATAATCTTATAATTAATAATAATAGTAATAGTAAATTCTTGCGAATAAGTTTGATATTGTGCTAATGGACCGGGCGCAGTGAAGGATATTTTTGGTCGACATTACCATTCTGTATGACGAGAACATCGTGAAAGCCGAAAGAAATAAGCAAAAAAAATATCTGGACCTGGTTCACGAGGTGACCGATATGTGGGGATGGTCTCCCGACCGAAATTATACCTGTAGTCGTTTCTGCGAACGGGCTTGTCCCGGTCAGCCTCTCGAGTCATCTGAAGCGATTGGGACTCCGTGACGGACCGCTACGGGCTCAAATGCAGAAAACGGTGTTCCTCGATACCGCCCGCATCGGCCGCCGGTTTCTTTCTTTTTCTCCCTAATCCTCGGCCGTTTGGTCCCCTCTGCCGAGGGCTTCAATCTAGTTGGGGCTTTTATTTATTTATGTATTATTTATTTAATAATGTTATTATATTAAATATATATTTATGTGTTTTTATTCTTTCTTTTGAGCTATGTCTAACGATAAGATGTGTCGTAGTTTCCCAAACGCTGCCCAGCCGAGTTGAATCCGTCGATTGACCTCTCGGTCGAAGTTGGACTTACCTAGTTTGACTATTTGTCCCAGGTAAATACTCGTCAACAACTTCGAGCTTATTGCTCTCAACAATTACCGGCATAGGTGTGACATGGACATTAAACATGATCTTTGTTTTGTCCATGTTCATCTTAAGACCTACCCGTTGGGAAGCACTATTGAGGTCATTGAGGATAGTGCTTAGGTCCTCCAGCGATTCTGCCATAAGGACTATATCGTCGGCAAATCGAAGGTGAGTGATGTACTCGCCATTGATGTTGATACCGATCCTTTCCAGTCCAGAAACTTAAAAACATCTTCCAATGCAGCGGTGAAGAGTTTCGGGGATATCACGTCACCCTGTCTTACACCTCTCTGCAATTGCCCAAATTTCGACGGAATCAAAGGCTTTCTCATAGTTCACATACGCCAGACATAGTGGCAAATTGTACTCCTCGGACTTCTGTACAATTTGCCGAAGGGTATGTATGTGGTCTATGGTGCTAAAGCCTTTTCGGAAACCGGCTTGTTCGGGAGGCTGGAAGTCGTCAAGTCTGCGCGCGAGACGATAACAATATGGTGATAACAAAGGATATGCCTTTCCAGTCCAGAAGCTTAAAAACGTCTTCCAATGCAGCGATGAAGTGTTTTGGGGTATATGACGTCACCCTGACTTACACCTCTCTACAGTTGGATAGGTTTCGTACTTTGGTTCTGTACTCGGATAGCCATCGTAGCCCTACTGTACAAGCACTTCAGCACTTCGATATACCGACAGTCCACTTGGCACCGCTGAAGGGACTGCAGCACCGCCCAAATTTCGACGGAATCAAAGGCTTTCTCATAGTCCACATACGCCAGACATAGTGGCAAATTGTACTCTTCGAACTTCTGTACAATTTGCCGAAGGGTATGTATGTGGTCTATGGTGCTAAAGCCTTTTCGGAAACCGGCTTGTTCGGGAGGCTGGAAGTCGTCAAGTCTGCGCGCGATACGATTCGTGACTCTCGAAAACAGCACGTAGACGCGGCTCAGAAGGGAAATCGGTCTGTAGTTCTTCAAGAGAGCGTTGTCGCCTTTCTTGAAGAACAAGACCACCGCACTTCTGCTCCACGCCTCCGGTGTAATGCCACCATGGAGGACGGAATTAAAGAGCTTCTGAATGACTTCAAAAACCGGTTTTCCACCCGCTTTCAGAAGGTCCGCTGTAATTCCATCCTCGTCTGGGGCCTTGCCGTTTTCAAGGTGCTGGAGAGCCATTCTAATCTCGCTCAGACTGACGTCCGGGATATCATCGGAATAATGTCGGATAAGATTCGCTCTTGGATCGTTACTCACACTCGCGTGTGGCTCCAATGATGACGTGTACAGCTGCCCATAGAACCTCTCAATCTCACTCAAAATCTCAGGTACCCCGGAAACGATGCTGCCACATTCTGTCTTCAGCTTTGACAGTTGGCTCTTTCTGGCAGACAGATCTCTGGCAAAGACTTTGGAGCCTTGGTTCCGCTCGATCGCTTCTTCAATACGAGCTGTATTGAAGTTGCGTAAGTCCCGCCGCATGCATTTGGAGATCTGTCTGTTAAGTTGCCTGTATGCTGTCAAATCTGTTGAGTTCATCTCCCGTCTCAACAGCCATTAGATTAAGAGTGTGATCGGAGAGTTTTTGTGTTCTTCTGCGGCGGGTCTTGCAGAACTTAGCTCCGACCGCATGAACAGTTTCCACGAGCTTGTCATTTATATCGTCCACTTCATTGCAGTCTTCTAGGCACTGAAAACGGTTTTGTAACTCGAGCTGAAAGGTTTCGGGACTTTGGATTAGAGCACGAGGTGGACGGAGCGTTGACTTCATTAGACGAGACCTCTCCAACTTAACGTTTAGATTCAGTGTGCCTCTAACTATTCGGTGATCGCTGCCGGTTTTCACCCTCGCGATCACTGAGACATCACTGATCAGTTGTCGTGTGGTCGTCATAATGAAGTCAATCTCATTTTTTGTCGAACCGTCGGGGCTCGACCAGGTCCACTTCCTGTGGGGCCGCTTCTGGAAGAAAGAGTTCATCACAAAGAGTTCCTCTTTCTCCATGAAGTCGGCTAGCTGTTGGCCCCTTGGGTTCCGTTGCCCTATTCCAAATTTCCCTACTTTCAGCTCACCGTTCTCTCTTGTGCTTAGTTTTGCATTGATGTCTCCCACTAATACCGTATAGTGGGTTTTGGAGGAATGCATATCTCTAGAGATATTCTCATACATTTCCTCCACCTCTTCATCGGAATGTGGCGAGGTTGGTGCGTAAACCTGTATGACCTTCAGCGAATACCGTTTGGTGATTCTGAGCATAAGGTACGCAACCCTCGTCGATACACTCTCAATCTTTACAACGTTGTTAACGAAAGACTTGTGGACGATAAATCCGACATCTCCTTGGGACAGATGGTCACCCTCCCGGTGATAGAGCAAGTTGCCGGATTCGAGGATTACCGTGTCCTCCCCCTCTTTTCGGACCTCGGATAATCCTATAATATGCCAGCGTAACTTGTCTTATCTCTTCTTCCAGCTCCACGATCTTCTCGTCAGTCCTCAGGGTGCGTGAGTTGTAAGTTGTATGTTGTAAAAAACTAAAAAATTATTACGAGCTCAAATAAGGTCTTAATATATTGGGACGCTCCTATATTATTGGACGGTGTCCGCAGGTACACTACTTGTTCGGCGGCAACCCAGGCACATCGAACAGTCCGCGGCTGCGGCTGGACGACCTGTGGGCGCTGCGGCTGCAGCGAGCGGAGCGCGACGACGTGTGGCGCACCGCCCGCGCCGCGCTGCGCGAGGCCTGCTACCGCGAGCTGGCCGCCGCGCCCGCCGCCCAGCCGCGCGCGCTGCACTACCTGCGCCACGAGCTCAGCGCCGCGCTCGACCACTGCGACCCGCTGCAGGTAACCCGCCCGCCGCCCAGCCGCGCGCGCTGCACTACCTGCGCCACGAGCTCAGCGCCGCGCTCGACCACTGCGACCCGCTGCAGGTAACCCGCCCGCCGCCCAGCCGCGCGCGCTGCACTACCTGCGCCACGAGCTCAGCGCCGCGCTCGACCACTGCGACCCGCTGCAGGTAACCCGCCCGCCGCCCAGCCGCGCGCGCTGCACTACCTGCGCCACGAGCTCAGCGCCGCGCTCGACCACTGCGACCCGCTGCAGGTAACCCGCCCGCCGCCCAGCCGCGCGCGCTGCACTACCTGCGCCACGAGCTCAGCGCCGCGCTCGACCACTGCGACCCGCTGCAGGTAACCCGCCCGCCGCCCAGCCGCGCGCGCTGCACTACCTGCGCCACGAGCTCAGCGCCGCGCTCGACCACTGCGACCCGCTGCAGGTAACCCGCCCGCCGCCCAGCCGCGCGCGCTGCACTACCTGCGCCACGAGCTCAGCGCCGCGCTCGACCACTGCGACCCGCTGCAGGTAACCCGCCCGCCGCCCAGCCGCGCGCGCTGCACTACCTGCGCCACGAGCTCAGCGCCGCGCTCGACCACTGCGACCCGCTGCAGGTAACCCGCCCGCCGCCCAGCCGCGCGCGCTGCACTACCTGCGCCACGAGCTCAGCGCCGCGCTCGACCACTGCGACCCGCTGCAGGTAACCCGCCCGCCGCCCAGCCGCGCGCGCTGCACTACCTGCGCCACGAGCTCAGCGCCGCGCTCGACCACTGCGACCCGCTGCAGGTAACCCGCCCGCCGCCCAGCCGCGCGCGCTGCACTACCTGCGCCACGAGCTCAGCGCCGCGCTCGACCACTGCGACCCGCTGCAGGTAACCCGCCCGCCGCCCAGCCGCGCGCGCTGCACTACCTGCGCCACGAGCTCAGCGCCGCGCTCGACCACTGCGACCCGCTGCAGGTAACCCGCCCGCCTCCGCCGCACTACCTGCGCCACGAGCTCAGCGCCGCGCTCGACCACTGCGACCCGCTGCAGGTAACCCGCCCGCCTCCGCCGCACTACCTGCGCCACGAGCTCAGCGCTGCGCTCGACCACTGCGACCCGCTGCAGGTAACCCGCCCGCCGCCGCCGCACTACCTGCGCCACGAGCTCAGCGCCGCGCTCGACCACTGCGATCCGCTGCAGGTAACCCGCCCGCCTCCGCCGCACTACCTGCGCCACGAGCTCAGCGCCGCGCTCGACCACTGCGACCCGCTGCAGGTAACCCGCCCGCCTCCGCCGCACTACCTGCGCCACGAGCTCAGCGCTGCGCTCGACCACTGCGACCCGCTGCAGGTAACCCGCCCGCCGCCGCCGCACTACCTGCGCCACGAGCTCAGCGCCGCGCTCGACCACTGCGATCCGCTGCAGGTAACCCGCCCGCCTCCGCCGCACTACCTGCGCCACGAGCTCAGCGCCGCGCTCGACCACTGCGACCCGCTGCAGGTAACCCGCCCGCCTCCGCCGCACTACCTGCGCCACGAGCTCAGCGCCGCGCTCGACCACTGCGACCCGCTGCAGGTAACCCGCCCGCCTCCGCCGCACTACCTGCGCCACGAGCTCAGCGCTGCGCTCGACCACTGCGACCCGCTGCAGGTAACCCGCCCGCCGCCGCCGCACTACCTGCGCCACGAGCTCAGCGCCGCGCTCGACCACTGCGATCCGCTGCAGGTAACCCGCCCGCCTCCGCCGCACTACCTGCGCCACGAGCTCAGCGCCGCGCTCGACCACTGCGACCCGCTGCAGGTAACCCGCCCGCCTCCGCCGCACTACCTGCGCCACGAGCTCAGCGCTGCGCTCGACCACTGCGACCCGCTGCAGGTAACCCGCCCGCCGCCGCCGCACTACCTGCGCCACGAGCTCAGCGCCGCGCTCGACCACTGCGATCCGCTGCAGGTAACCCGCCCGCCTCCGCCGCACTACCTGCGCCACGAGCTCAGCGCCGCGCTCGACCACTGCGACCCGCTGCAGGTAACCCGCCCGCCTCCGCCGCACTACCTGCGCCACGAGCTCAGCGCTGCGCTCGACCACTGCGACCCGCTGCAGGTAACCCGCCCGCCTCCGCCGCACTACCTGCGCCACGAGCTCAGCGCCGCGCTCGACCACTGCGACCCGCTGCAGGTAACCCGCCCGCCTCCGCCGCACTACCTGCGCCACGAGCTCAGCGCTGCGCTCGACCACTGCGACCCGCTGCAGGTAACCCGCCCGCCGCCGCCGCACTACCTGCGCCACGAGCTCAGCGCCGCGCTCGACCACTGCGACCCGCTGCAGGTAACTCGCCCGCCGCCCAGCCGCGCGCGCTGCACTACCTGCGCCACGAGCTCAGCGCCGCGCTCGACTACAAGAAATCTTTCGCCTAAATCTGGATCAGGCGTAGCTGTCATCGAGATACAAGATGCAGAGATCGCGGCGTGCAATTGATTTATCTGTTTTATTTTTTGCTTATCCAAACTAGGGCCGTCCACAGACGACGGTGGGCGGTCAGCCAGAACATAGGCATGATGGCACCACTATCGCATACTGACGCAATTTCTTAATTGTTTAACATAATAATGTTTAAAAATGTGAAATAACGGTGCATACGTTCCAGGTGGCGCAGTTCCAGAAGCTGGCGACAGTGCTATTCTCTGGGCCGCCGAGTGACATCAGTGGCGAGTGCGCGTTGAATCCCAGCCGAGTGCGCGCGCTGGCGCGGAGACGTGCGCGCCTGCCGCCGCACACCGACCTCGCGCACGCGCTGGCAGCGGTACGTATGTGTGTGTGTGTGTCTGTGTATACACCGATCTCGCACACGCGCTGGTAGTGGTACGTGAGTGTGTGTGTGTGTGTATGTGTGTGAGTGCCTCCTACTTACCTGTGGGGCTATCCGTTACTTATCGGACATTATAATAATAATAATAATAATAATGTTTATTTCTCCTCACAAAAACAGGCAATACATAATAAAACTTATATCTATTTAAATACAGGTAAGTTCATACTCATAGTCTAGTATTTGTGAGGAGCTGGTGTCTGAATTAGGCTATAAAATGCCTGTATTACAAATCACCAGGTCCCCACCCCACGGGACAAACAGGAGCATTATTCGCGATTGAATGTTACAGGTATCAAAGAACTTATAGTATTAACGTAAAATGATACACTAAAATGTATTACGTATGACATATGAGGCTATTTAAATTACATATAAAAAAGAATAAAAATGGGCTTAAAAAAGGCTAAAAAAGAAAAAAAAAGTTACAACGGTGTGTGTGTGTGTGTGTGTGTGTGTGTGTGAGAGAGAGAGAGAGTGTGTGTGTGCGTGTGTGTGTGTGTGTATGTGTGAAGAAAAAGAAATTATTCATGAAGTAAATTTTCTGTACGGTCATAATCCAATTTTTTTAACCACTCCGCGACAGTAAATTTACATTTAATTTTTGGAAGGGAATATATTGACAGTTCCCTATTTAATTTATTATAAAGGTTACTGCTTTGGTAACAGTAAAATCGATGTGTAAGGCTAGTTCTGTATTTAGTTATAGTGCAGACTTTATCTTTGCGGCGCTGATTCCTAAAGTTATCTGGTTCATACTTTAACTGGGAATGTTGTTGAAGTACAGTATATAAAATGTAAAGCTGTCTGACAGTCAGGACTTTCCATTTTTGATAGAGATCAGACGTTGGATGATAGAATGGTAGGAATGAGCTCACTTTTAAGAGTGCTCTTTGCGCTCGTTCGATTTTTAGAAAGTGTGTTTTACAGGCACCACCCCAAGAAGTAATGCAGTACATAAGTTGCGACTGGCAAAGAGCGAAGTAAACTGATTTTAATACTTTCTCCTGGGCCACATGTCTCAAGGCCTTAAATATTACCATTAATTTGCGTATTCTTGCAGTTAGATGGTCAATGTGATAGTGAAAACTTAATTTGCTGTCAATCATTACGCCTAGGTATTTAGTTGATTCTGTGTTTACAAGCTTCGGGCATAGACAGGTTGTGTCATTGGGATTATCACACAAGTGGGAAACAATTCGATATGCAGGGTCTGGTTTATCAGTGGACTTAATGGAAAAGGAGATGTAATTAGTCTTTGCAACATTGAGAGTTAAAATGTTCTTGTATAACCAACTAGTAACAGTATTCATTCCTCTCTGAGCATTTGAGAAAACCTCATACCATGAGTTACCACTGAAAAGGATGGCCATGTCGTCTGCGAAGGCAATTATTTTTGCATTGGGAATTTCTATTTGACAAAGATCATTGATATAAACAAGGAAGATAGTTGGACCCAGAATACTTCCCTGAGGAACTCCAAAGTTACAGGAACTTCTTCGCTAATTATGGTATCGATTTGTACACATTGCGTTCTGTCTGTTAAAAAATCTTGTAGAAGTTTCAACTGGAGGTCTCTAATACCAAGGTATTCAAGTTTTTGAACTAAAATTGGGACAGAGACTGCGTCAAATGCCTTTGCCAAATCCAAAAATATACCTATTGTTTTTTTTTATTGTCAAAGTCATTAACTATGTAATTTGTTAGTTCAAAAACCGCGTCTGATGTAGATCTATTTGCTCTGAAGCCAAATTGTTTATGTGACAAGAGATTTTTATTTTCCAAGTATTTTACTAATCTATTATTTATAATGCGTTCTAACATTTTTGAGATAGTGGGAAGAGTAGAAATCGGTCTATAGTTACTGACACAGCCCCTGTCTCCGCTTTTATGAATCGGGTGGATTCGCGATTTCTTGTATATCCGCGGGAACACTCCAGTTGAAAGTGATAAATTGCAAATGTACGTTATCGGAGACACCAGAACATCACTGTTAGCCTTAATAATTTCACTAGAAATTAAATCCAGGCCAACAGAGCAATTACTCTTTAAACCTGTTATAAGATTCCTAACTTCATCCTTATCCGTAGATAAAAGAGTAAAAGAATGACAGCATGACTTTAAAGCAGGGGGTTGAATTGGGGGCTTATATTTACACAGGTTTTCAGCTAAAGTTCTGCCTACATTTGCAAAATAATGGTTAATACTATTCACCGATGCTTGCGGATTGTTTGTAGCTATCAGCTCCAATGGAATCTCTTTAGGTTTATTTGAGTAAGTAATCTCTTTAACAGCTTTCCAAAGTTTTTTGTTGGACATTCTGTATAACAAAAAGTGTATAATATTTCACATGGGTTTTTTTTCCTTACACTTATTGTACATAGAATTTATTTATAAGTGGGGTCGTCGGCAGGTGCTGGGCGCCGACGACACAGCGTTGGAACCCACGCAGCCGTTCGAGGAGGCGGTGGAGCCCGTGCCCGACACGTGGGACGTGGGCGAGGAGGACGACGAGTGCTTGTCGGGCGCGGCGGGTGCGGGGTGCGCGGCGGGCGGGTGGGACGCGCGCGGTGCGCGCATGCGGCTGTTCGAGCGGCTGTGCGCGTACTTCCGGCCCAGCCGCGTGCCGCCGCGCGCGCAGCTCACCGACCTCGTCGTGCTCTAACGCCGCCGCACACCCGTCTCACTGGTATAACCACATTACTTTCTTTTTCTTACCATATCACCGCTTTCAATAATTATGTACAATTATTTTAATATTTCAATTTTTGAATGGGTCGGTTCTATGGGGAAGGACCACGCTCTCACAGAATACCAGCTTAAAATAGCAGCTTAACGCTGCTATGATTCGTATGATGAGTGTGGAGAACCGGAGACCCTTTTTACTGGAAACGAGGCATTCCATCTTAGTCCTCACGGGTGACAACGCATCTGCATTTTGATTTGTAATCGAGGATAGATGTAGATGTCTATGGGCAACAGCATCCACTTACCTGCAGGTGGACGATGTACTCGTTTGTCACCCTAATCTTATAAAAAACATCCCCTTTGATGTATTTGTTGGTTTCACAGCATATGACGCGATTGTTGTAGTTCGTATATTTTGAAAATATTATCAGTTGACCAGATGTAGGTGTCTGTAGGGGGCTGCATTCTACTTACATACACATGAAGTGGACCGTACTTGTCACCCATACTTGTATTCAAAAAATACGATGTATTTATCAAAAACAAAGAAATCGCCAAAAAAGTATTTAACAACATAAGTAAGTTAAGTTAACTTAACACTCTTTCAACATTAATATTTCTGGTGGCATGTCTAAATAAATATATGACCGTCAGCGTATTTTCTTGCGTTTACCCAAAGAGATTTAAACATATATATACCATAGTGCGGCCATATGGAACATTTGCATACAAACACTATGCTCGCACGTTTGTGACGCCCTCTAGCTAAACATAGCAAAACTACGCTGAATGTTTATTAGGAAAACATTTCAGCTATTCCCCAGTAGGTGACGCTAATAAATTACCGTTTCAACATCAAAGTATCGATAATGTATATTATATTTTATGTTATATAAATATTTATAAAATATAGTATAATAAAATATTTATATTAAATATATATTTTATAGATATAATATAAATATTTTACGTGGTACAGCCATGCTGCAGCTATATTATGGTTGTAGCACGAATGGGTCGGCTCGACCGAGGAAGGACCACGCTCTCACAGAATACCAGCGTAAAATAGCAGCTTAACGCTGCTGTGTTTCGTATGGTGAGTGTAGAGAACCGGAGACCCTTTTTACTGGAAACGAGACATTCCATCTTAGTCCTCACGGGTGACAACGCATCTGCATTTTGATTCTTAATCGAAGATAGATGTAGATGTCTATGGGCTACAGCAACCACTTACCATCAGGTGGACTGTGTGCTCTTTTGTCACCCTTATCCTATAAAAAAAATGTTGAATGTTACAAAGTTTGTAATACTTTACGATATAATAATAGGGAATATGCATGCGTTTTATTGTATAAATCTATTTAATATGACTCCCATCACTCCAAAAAAAAATCATATATACTTTAGTCATTTTAGTGTGATAAAATAAAATATTTAATTTCCAATAACTAAGGATCAATTCAGACTGCAATCATATTGGTGGCATCTTGGATGACGTCACTAGGTCCATTAGACGCTATAATAATAGCACATGATTGGTCGATCGGCGTCGAAGGCACATCGAGAAACCTCACATCGAATAAGAGAGCGTCTCGATGTTTTTGAAATTCGTTTATTTTACAAAAATACACTTTAAATCTAACATATTTTAGGGAAGCACTGAACTTAAAAGTCGTTACACGATAAATTATTATACAAATTCACAAGTTTACGCGTTTACTGCTAAAAAGAAAGCGTTTGTCGTATCTTCTCAATTTCAGGACACTTCCCTTGTAGCCGAAGTCTTTGACGTCGACATATCGAATGACCTGCAGTGACTTGGTTACTTGGAAGAGGAAGCTAAATTGGCTTCTAAAAAGCATGGCGTACTCAGTAGAGCGGGACAGTATTTCATGCCTGCACACCGTTTGCATTATTGCAAGGCGCAGTTTCGGCCTCTGGAATACTGTTCTTTACCAAATTTCATCAACACACACGCGACTAATTACGTTACCATACCACATCATTTGGAGGCTTTAGCGGTCCACTACCGTGCGATTTATTAGGAGTTTTCTTTCTCGCACGAATACTTTTTGAAATCGTCTACCATCGGCGATTTTTATAAACCAATACTACTTAAGGACCTTCAAGAAACGAGTTTACTCCTTTTCAAAAGGCTGGCAACGCATCTGCAACTCTCCTGGTGTTGTAAAATATTTAAAAAGAAGGCTATCTTGTTGACTGGTTGTATTGGTTGTACTGGCTGACATAGACGTTTCACGTTAAAACCAACGGCCCTGTGTCCCGACACAGACCTTATTTTTATGTTTCTTTATTTGTATGGGTATCTACAGTATCGTTTACTGTTTCACCTACCGTAAATCCGCATCCTGTACAATATTTTTTATCGATAACAGCAAACGATAAACGTTGTCAATCACTAACTCATGTGGTGACGTTACTATATAAGAGAGGGTGCTTATTACAATAATGATAAATGTTCTAGAACAATACCAGAAATAATAAAATTTAAAAATTATTGGGTAAATATACATTATACTTGCGATAATAAACCGAAATCACATTCAGTTTTTGATATGTACCGGGACTTACAATACCTTAATGCACAATCGGGCATATTATCTTGTAAAAATATTTTTTAAATTTAGGAAACGAATGTGTTTTGCGCTTATAACGATATAACTAAGACAAATTACAAAATAGAAAAGAATAGAATAGAAGGACCATTTTGTTGCTGATGTTCAGTCTATTACTACTACTTTTAAATGTCTTCGCGTTTATCTCTGCTTTTTTTCTTATATTTTTAACTATGAGCATTAAACGTCACCAAAGTTATTAGTGCGGTTAGTTCATCATCATCATCATCACAATCATTACAGCCCATCACAAGTCCACTGTTGAACATAGCCCTTCCCCAAGGAGTGCCATAAAGAAAGGTCCAGAGCCACCTGCATCTATTAACTTCCTGCATGTCTTACCAGGTCGTCACTCCATCTAGTGGGGGGACGCCCTACAGTTCTCCTGCCGGTACGAGGCTGCCACTTGAGAACATAGCCCTCTCCATAGGTCGCTGAGCGACTTTGAGCTTCCTCATACGACCAACAGTGACCACATCTCAGATCCATAGGTCATCACTGGCAACGCGCACTGGTTGAACAATCTTGTTTTGAGGTATGCCTGACGAGAATATGTGTCGCAATTTCCCCAACGCTGCCCAGCCGAGTTGAATCCGTCGATTGACCTCTCGGTCAAAGTTGGACTTACCTAGTCGGACTATTTGTACCAGATATGTGTATGTTACAAGTGGAAGATTGTACTCTTCGTTCTTCTGTACAATTTGCCGAAGGGTATGTATGTGATCTATGGTGCTAAAGCCTTTTCGAAAACCTCCTTGTTCGGGAGGCTGGAAGTCGTCGAGTCTACATGCGAGATGATTCGTAATGACTCTCGAAAACAGCACGTAGACGCGGCTTGGAAGGGATATCGGTCTGTAGTTCTTCAAGAGAGCGTTGTCGCTTTTCTTGAAGAACAAGTCCACCGCACTTCTGCTCCATACCTCCGAAGTAGTGCCACCATGTAGGACGGAATTAAAGAGTTTGTGAAGGACTTCAAGTACCGCCTTTTCATCTGGTTTCAGAATCTCTGCTGTAATTCTATCCTCAAGCGGGGACTTGCCGTTTTTAAGGTGCTGGAGAGCCATTCTAATCTCGCTTAGAGTGACGTGTACAGCTGCCCATAGAACCTCTCAATCTCACTCAAAATCTCAGGTGTCCCAGTAACGATGCTGCCACATTCGGTCGTCAGCTTCGACAGTTGGCTCTTTCTGGCATACAGATCCCTGGCAAAGATTTTGGAACCCTGGTTCCGCTCGATCGCTTCTTCAATACGAGCCGTATTAAAATTGCGTAAGTCCCGCCGCATGCATTTGGAGATCTGTTTGTTTAGTTGCCTGTATGCTGTGAAATGTAACAGCCATGACATTAAGAGTGTGATCGGAGAGTTTTTGTGTTTTGCTGCGGCGGGTCTGGCAGAACTTAGCTTCGACCGCATGGACAGTTTCCACGAGTTTGTCATTCATATCGTTCACAGCATTGCAATCTTCTAGGCACTGAAAACGGTCTTGTAACTCGAGCTGAAATGTTTACGGACTGTGGATTTGAGCACAAGAGGGACGGAGCGTCGACTTCATTAGACGAGACATCTCCAACTTAACGTTTAGGTTCAGCGTGCCTCTCACCATTCGGTGATCGCTACCAGTTTTCACGCTCGCGATCACTGAGACATCTCTGAACAGTTGCCGTCTAGTCTTCATAATGAAGTCAATCTCATTTTTTATCGAACCGTTAACTTCCTGTGGGGCCGCTTCTGGAAGAAAGAGTTTATCACAAAGAGTCCCTCTTTCTCCATGAAGTCGGCCAGCTGCTGGCCCCTTGGGTTCCGTTGCCCTATCCCAAATTTCCCTATCTTCAGCTCACCGTTCTCTCTTGTGCCTAGTTTTACGTTGAAGTATCCCATTAACCTGTACAACCTTCAACGAATAATGTTTGGTTATTCTGAATATAAGGTACGCAACCCTCGTCGACACACTCACAATCTTTACTACGTTGTTAACATGAGACTTGTGGACGATAAACCCGACACATCCTTGGGACAGATGGTTCCCTCCCGGTGATAGAACAAGTTGCCGAATTCGAGGATTATCCTCCCCTTTTCTTCGGACTTCAGATAATCCTATTATATCCTAGCGGAACTTGTCTATCTCTTCTTCCAGCTCCAGGATCTTCTCGTCAGTTCTCAGGGTGCGTGCGTTGTATGTTATTTATTTATTTATTTATTTATATACATCCAACTTATATCTAACATTACAGGTTTCTACCCAATGCGATAGATAAAGCACTATCTACAATCATATATTACCTATATTACTATACTACCTTATAACTAATTATCCATAAAGCCAGTTTTGTGAATTCGTTC